GTGCAAGAGCAAATCTCTTCAGATGCGGACACGTGGCAGCGATCCGACGGACCAAGTCGTCTTGAAGAAGCGGGGACTGGAGCGGCGGCACGATTACATCTTCGGCAATATCAACGTGGGAGATCGTATAAAACGTTCTTAACGCGGACAGGAGGCCAGTCGGGGTAATTTCCCTCGTTATAGCGACGTGGGCGAGCGCGAGGCGGAGGAGGCGGCTCCAGCGCTTGCAGACTGGATTGACAGTCTGCAAGGCGAGGTGGATCGAGCGGCGCGAGACGAGGCGAAGCACCACCGCGAGAACGTCGTCGGGGAGGTCGTTAACTGGGAAGGGGACTAGGTGCGCCTCGTCACGGGAGGAAGGCGAGTCGCCCGATGTTGATTCCGAGAAGAAAGTGATAATAGTGCCAGGGAAAAAAGCCATGGCGGAAACACAGCGGTGGCCAGGGACTGCAGGGTTAGGGGTGCAGAATCTGCAGCAGGCGAGGGAAAGAAAGAGGCAAGAAACTTTCTACTGAACCAACTTTCTGGAGGCGACAGGACCGAAAGATCATCGGTACAACGTGCTCCGATAAGCTTTCAGGCTGGAATCGGACATTTAGAATCGTCTCCCAATGAGAATATTACAGGAAATGATTATGCTCACACATCCCATGTGGCTATGACAAAATCTCGGCAATGCACACACGGATAGCTGTAGTTCCTAGAGTAAACAAACCCCCCTTCAACGCTCTCACAAGAATGCCTAGAAAAGCCATACACCTCAGGCAAGGAAAATACCGGGAACCCAAACCAACTGCCGTTCCTAAAATGTATTGTTTGCAACGATCCTATGTGGAGGAGAGATGTTGGAAGGGATCTGATGCCGCAATCGAATACAAGCACATGGCGCAGCGTGCCGTTGTCCCTTGTGTTAACCTTTGCCTCTTCTTCCGACTCCAGTGTGCACAAGCTTGTACACTCGATGAGAGCCAGCTTGGACAAATTCGGAAGGCCGGAGATTGCGCCACGTGGCAGAAATGCCAGGTTGGTGCATCTGTGGGATCACCAACAGCTCAAGGGATTTGAAGCTGTGGGAGGGAGGCAGGGAGGCACTCCAAGTTGGCAGCTGAGAAAGCATTAGCTTCCGCAGGGACTTTCAGCTGCCCGAGCGAGTCGGGCAGGCCGGTGAAATTTTTCCAGTCTGACCAGCCTGAGAAGCTCCAGCTTGGGCAGGCAGCCAAGGTTCTTCAGGCAGGGGCGAGGATCCCAGTGTAGTCCGTCATCTCTAGTATCACTAACGAGGACAGCCCTAACGAGGATGCAGGAAAGGGCCTCCCTGCTCTCCAGTGATATCCTTCCCCAGCCAGCCCAGCCTCTGCCACTCCCTGTTCCACCCCTTCCCACGCCCTCCCCTCCTCTTCCCACTCCTCTTGCCCCTCCCCTTGCCGTTCCTCCTGCGCCACCCCCTGCTGCATCTCCCCCCGCATCTCCTCCTCCTGCTCCTGCGCTTCCTCCTCCTCCCACGTCTCCTCCCCTCCGCGCCCTCCAGACCCCGTACGCCGCCCAATACGCAGCACCCTCCCTTGCGGAGCAGACGATCGGCATTGACTGGCATGGTCATGAGGGAGGGGAGAGGAGCCCCTGCTTTGATCAGGGGTGGGGTTCGAAGGGCTAGATGGGTGGGGCGGCAGAGGAGGGAGATGGGTGGTGAAGGGGGGCACGTGGGGGAGGTCCGGGCAGGCAGCGATGCTGAGTCGTTCCAAGCTGGCTAGATAGCACAGGGAGAGGGGAAGGCGCACCAGCCCGCACGTGCTCACGTCTAGTATTCTCAGCCTTGGGAGGTGCCCGAACAGTTCGGGCAGTGTGCGAAGGCCCCTTAGCTCGTGTAGTTTTAGAGTTTCCAAAGCGGGCAGGGAGCTGAAACTTTCAGGGAGCCATCGAAGCCAGTCACACTGGTGAATGCTGAGGAATGAGAGGCTGGAAAGCTGCCCGAACGAGTCGGGCAGCTTCAATAAGCTCGAGCAGTTCGTCAGCCACATTCGCTGTAAGCTTTTCAACCTGCCCAGGCTCTCGGGCAGCTCCTCCAAAGACTCAGCCTCGAGCTTCAGGACCTTCAAAGACTCCAGCTGCCCTAAACTCCCGGGCAGGGACCGAATAACCTCTGAATGAAATTCTAAATGCTCCAAGCGCGTTAACTCGCCGATGCTCCACGGCAAGCTCTCGAAGCAGCGACTGCTGACAACCAGCTTCGTCACACGACTTAACGAGTCCAGGCTTATATCGGATTCGATCAGATTCGCAAACGTGTCTAATCCGCGCCAGGCTGGGTCGTCGCCTAACTCGAGCACTTCCAGCTCCGTGAGGAGAGTGAGCGACGCGGGGAGGGCGGAGATCCCGCTGAGGGAGAACAAGCGGAGCTGCTGCAGGCGAGAGCATCCGCGGAAGAGCGCGGAAAGCCCCGCGGGGGAGAAGCGCGCGCGGAACTGGTACCCAATGAGAAGGCGCGTGAGATTGGGGCAGCGCGAGGAGATTCCGCGAAGGAGATCGTCTGTCGCGTGCGGAACGGTGTTCTCCGTTATATCGAGTTGTGACAATGTCGGGAATGTGCCGACGGCGGAGAGAAGCTGCGCGGGGTGCACGGCGCGCGGAACCTTGAGGTAGACGCGCGCGAGGCACGTGAGGCGGAACCAGCGCTTGCAGACGAAGGCGTGCGCGAGGGAGTTGCGCGAGAGGTGCTGGAGGACCAATGAGAGCACGTCGTCAGGCAGACGGTCCAATGGGAATGCCGGATGCTGATTCGCCGAATGGCAGGTAGACGTGGGACGATCCGACGGTGCATCTGCACGATGCGGGTGAACGAGAGACGTCGAGACCGTCGGATCTTGGATTGGTTTGATCAAGGATCTCTCTGAGCCGTTGAGGCCCCGTGGCGCAGATGCCGTGACAACAGCGGTGGATGCCATATCAATACACACTATAATGAGAATCGATTCAGCTAAATAGGCGAGCGGAAAAAGGGAATCATCACAAAACTCCGCGGTAGCCAAATCCAGAAATAATGCCTCCTAAAAGATGTCCTTAGCTTTCACCGTGCCTCGCATATTCCCTCGTCACCTTGAAAGTGCCGCGCCATTTCCCTTCCCCCAATCTCCTCCGCCAGCCTTCTCCCGCCCCGCGCGGGGCTTGTCGCTCGCATGCTCGCGCGGGCACTGTCGTGTGCCGAGTGGCTTTTGCCTTGTGCCGTGCGGCGAAGGTTTTCGCGAACCTGACGTGACCGTACGCGTTTGTGCTGTACGTACACGGAAAAAAGACCAGATAGACTGTACCGCTCCACTCGACGTTCAGACATAAAAATATGAATACACCTCCTCCTAATCAGGTCACGCTAGTCGCGAGTATTTGCTTGGCTTCAGTGTAAAAATGCATGGCTTCAGGAAAATCTGCGTTATCATGTGTGCCTATACATTATGCACATGCTTCCACTTCATTGCATGCCATTTGTGCTTGCTATTGATTTGTGGGATTGGTGAGTGACCGAACCCACTTGGGCAACCGCATGCTGATGTCGCTCCAAACTGCTGACACCCATGGCACACCATTTGCAAAGTGCACCTGCAAATGGAAGCAAGATCCAACAACAGAAAACAGAATGCAGTCACCGCAAGAGTGAAAAACAAGAAGCTTACTACCTTATTCCTCTCAAGCCGAACCTTTTCACCCGATAAATAGAAAATACAGGAGTAACACTCACCGGCTGGTAACCATCTGCGTGCAGCTCATATTTGGGCGAATACACATGCACCCGAGCGGTGGCTCCCAGGGGAAGCACTGGAGATCCAACGGTTGCCCTTCCATCTTCTTCTGCAGCGACCGCCCTCCCATTCTCATGTCTAGACTCAGCATCAGAAGGCGCTGCCCCCCTTCCATGCGAACTTGGGGGGTGACGTCAGGTGCAGTGGCGGTGTTGGCGTGAGTGGTAAGGGGTCCGGAGCCAGTGGTAGGGTGGTAGAGGGACGTGAGGGGGAGGTGGTGGTGGGTCCATGAGAGGATGGAGCCCTTGAGATTGTATGCGTCCATCTGGTGCTGAGAGCGCAGCATTCGCGCATAGTTGCCACTGCGGTAGCCTATGGTGCTGGGCATGCAAGAATGGATCGGATGGGAATACGAGACGAGGCACAGAAGGGGAGGAGAGGAGGGGGAGGCGGTGGTGGGTCCACGAGAGGATGGAGCCCCTGCGATAGCGTGCGTCCATCTGGTGTGGAGAGCGCAGCATGCGTGCGTAGTTGCCACTGCGGTGGCCTATGGTGCTGTAGGGTGTTTTTGAGAATTCTCAAAAACACCCTACAAAATCAAGGTGTGTGGGAGGGGGAATGGGGAGACACAAAGGGAGGCAGTGGTGGGTCCAAGAGAGCGTGGTTGCCACTGCGATACCCTACGGTGCTGTGTCATGTCGGAAGCAGGGGAAAACGAGGTGATGGATATGGCAATACGGAGGTAGATAGAAGAAAAAAGAGCCAGCTTTCTCATGAGGCGTGAGCCAGCAAAACTCACCAGCAGAACACCACTCCATGATCAGTTAACCGTTCCATGTGCCGCGCAAAGTCTGTCTTGGGTTGGATGCTCCAGTGTGCCTAACACAACACAAGAGAAACACTCCCGCGGCCCCCACCCCCGCTCCCCTTCTCACCAGTAGCACACCACTCTGTGATCATTGACCTCTCCATCTGCCGCTCAAAGTCCTTCTGCTTCAGCATGCCGCTCCAGTCACCAGCCACAACCCTCTGTCCCCCCCCCCCCCCACCCCCTCCCCCCCCCCACACCCCCCCGTTCCCTTCTCACCAGTAGCACACCACTCTGTGGTCATTGAACTTCTCGATCTGCCGCTCAAAGTCCCTCTGCTTCAGTGTGCCGCCCGGAATCATCGACACCGCCGTCTCTTCCTCCGTGCGCGTATCCACCACCACCACCTGCCGCCCGCCCCTCGCATCCCCTCCCACATCTCCCCCCCCTCCTCCCCCATCCCCCCTCCCCTCACTCCCCCCATCCCCCCTCCTATCCCCTCCCCCGCCACCCTCCCCGCCCCTTGCCTGCTGTGCCAGCAGCAGCTGGTGCAGCTCAGTCACGCCCATCTCAGGCACCTGGCGGGGGGACAAAGGCCAAGGGGAGACGAGAAGAGGGGGGAGGGGAAGTGTGTTGGGGTTGGTGGGGCAAGCTGCAAGTGCAGAGGAGAGCAGCAGCTGGTGCAGCTCAGTCACGCCCATCTCAGGCACCTGGCGGGGAAGAGAAGGAGCGGAAGAGAAGGGCTGAAAGTGAGAGGGCAGCAGCGGCTGGTGAGGCCCAGCCACCTCCACCTCAGTTGGTTTGAACTCTAAAAAAAAAAGGCTCAATGATAAGCACAGGCACCCCCACCTCAGGTAGAACCCGATGGATGAATGAGAGGACTGCTTTTGAGTCGGCTCAATTTGAGAGGGGGAGGTTACACGGGGCGGGCTTAAGTCTTAGAGAATTCTGTCAACAAAAATGGGATGGGGAGGCAAGAAGGGGCGGGCTTACGTCTTGGAAGAGCTTCGACTGCATCCGACCGTACATCTCCCATAACCTTTGCCGCCGCTCCTCTCCGCGCGGCTTCTCCGCGCCCCTCTCCGCGCCCCTCTCCGCGCCCGGATTCATCCCTCCCTGCTCCTCTCCGCGCGGCTTGTCCGCCAGCCTTTCCGCTTCCGCGCCCGCCGTCGCTCTCGCTTTGGCGCCAAGGGCTGCTGGAACTCCATCCGCCGCGGCTCCTGCGACGTTGGGCGACTCCTCCATGCGACGCGAATCGTCGCCGGCCATGCGAAGCGTGCGACGTCGCAGAGAGGGATAACTCGCGGCAGGGAAAGCGAGGAGACGGGACGGAAAGCGCGGAGAACGGTGGCGGGAAAGGGAGGAGCGAGGAGATAGAGCGGAGGGACGGGGTACCGGACGGGCGCTGCTGAAAGCGCGAGGAAGAGGTGGTGAGATAACTGCAAGCATGGCTGAAATGGGACCAGAAGCACTAAATTTGTCACTTGTGCTGGTTTGTGTACGCGTTACAGTATGTTTTTCACGTATGGATTGACGTATCTTAAATATGCCGCAATTATACCATCCGAGATATAAAGAAACAATGGATTTTCCTTAAGATTGTGCATATTTTGGGTAAGTGCGCATATCTAGGCTGCCAATTTAGACACGGGAAAGGTACAAATATCTCCAAATGCCTACCAACCCAGTATGAAGGCTAGTTGACTTCCAACAAACTAGAGGGGCACTTAGGGTAGGCTAATCCAGCAGTACACACCCAAATTTGCTCCACAATGCTGAAGAACCAAATCCTCAGCAAGGAAACATCCCCAAATACACTTCATCCCCTCTATTGGTCATACCCGCCTTGAGCCCCTCCAGGGTACCCCGCCCCCTCCCCATACCTCCCCCCTCCGTACCCGCCACCTCCTCCCCCGTACCCAGCACCACCGCCACCACCACTGTACCGGCCCCCGCCGCCACCATACCCACCACCGCCGCCACCATAGCCCCCCCTGCCGCCGCCTCCTCCCCTGCCGCCTCCCCCGCCCTCAGTCCTGTTGGAGGCATAGTCCACGCGCACTGTCCTGCCGTTCAGCTCCTGCGAATGGTTGGGAATGGTTGGGAATGGTTGGGAATGGTGGAAAGTGACAAGGTTTAAGGAGGGGAGAGGGTGTAAGTATGGGTGGTGGAGTGTTGTGCACAGATCCTCTCTCGCCATCTGCCCGGTTGGAGGCATAGTCAATCCACACCCCTTCCATTCAGCTCCTAAGAGCGCTGGGGAAATAACATGTTTGAGGGTTCAGGTGCGGAGAAAACAGGTGGGGGGAGGCGGGCGGGGAAGGGGGATGTGACGATTCTGTAATGCGTCCTCGCACTGTCGTAATAATCTTGTCGGGGGCTCGTGGGGAGGGGGGAGGGGGGAGGGGAAACGGCATTGTAGCAATTCAGAATTTGAAGCGTTTATACATGGAAGTTGCGGAGGCCACAGCCTGGTTACCTCCCACAAGAAACCGGCTGGCAGCACCAGCTATTCCAGTGTACCTGTGTGCAGGACTTCTGTTGACTCACCTTGCCGTTGACGCCCCCAAACGCACTCGCAGCCTCCTCGTCCGAAAACCTTCTGCGCTGCAAGAAATACAAGTAGCTCGGTAACAGTATATCTTGCCGCCGACTCACCTTGCCGTTGACGCCCTCCAGCGCGCTAGCAGCCTCCTCGTCCGACGAAAAAGACACGAACCCGAATCCGCGCGAGCGGCCCGTGAACCGATCCCGAATCACCTTGGCTGCACGCGATCAGAGGGGCGGCGGGAGAACGACGGAGGGATGAATGCCGTGACACAGAAGCGGCAAGGCGCGTGAGCAAGGTGGGAGGCGGTCCAGGCGTGAGCAAGGTTGAGCGAGGGACCCACGGAGGAAGCACGCAACAGAGTTGCACGAGAGAAGGGGAAACTAAGAAGCGGCCGCGAAGAGTCTAGTTTTGAGGCGCCTCAAAACTAGACTTCTATCACGCGGCCGCGAGGAGGGAACCGCGGACGACGAGGGAAGACGGAGGAGCGGAGACGGAAGGACGAGAGCGCGGGGAATGAGAATGCGCGCAAGAAAAAGCGCGGGGAAGAAGCGATCAGAGTCGGCCAAGGTTGAGGAAAGCCGGGGGACAGGGGACGGGGGATGGGGAATGGGGGATGGGGGATCCGCGCAAGGGAACAGGGCTCACGGAGGGTGAAGGACGGAGGGGGGATGGCGGAGGGAGGATGGCGGAGGGTGGCGGATCCGCAGGGGAGAAAGTGGGCTCACCTTCCTCGACGTTTCCGTAAGCGGAGAAGGCGTCAGTTAGCGCCTTCTCGTCGGATTCCCACGCAAGACCTGCTCGGAGCAGCACGGATCAGACGCGAAAGGCACGTACAAGGGAAAGGAAAGCAGGATGAGGTCACGAAGCAGGAAGACCACACACGACGGAAGAACCATCATGACCACACATGACAACACATGACCACACATGACCACACATGACCACACATGACGGAAGAACCATCATGACCACACATGACCACTAGAAATGCAGATCACGTCATGCGGGAGTTGGGACTCTTGGAAAACGATAACTGGATAGTAAAATACGATACTATGGGAAGATTCTTGAGGCGCCTTAAAAAAAAAAAACGATACCATGGGAAGAAGCATGCGGGACTCGTTCGTTCGTTTCTCCTATTAACAAGGAAAGCCACGGCGAGCCACGTGGAACACATCTACCGGAGGAGGTCGCCGCTGCCGCTGCTGCATCAGTTCACGCGTCAGCGTCTTAACTCCAGTTCAGCGGCAGAGTCGGCCCAGATCCGTTGGCGTCAACAGATCTTAAGATTTTATGGATCCGGTGAGTGGAACAGACCCCATGGCTGACGTAGAATGGAAACGAACCTCCGATAAAGAGCTAGTTGCCAGAAAAGAACCGCACTTCCTGGGTCATTGCGAAGATAGACTACCGGTATCCGTTAGATTTAACAGATCCAAAAAACCGACGGACAACGTGAACGCACCGCCGATGAAGAGCTTGTTGCCGGACATGAATCGCACGGCTTGCGTCATCGCCGCGGGAAGCAGCGATAGGTGCGGCTGCGGGGAGTGAAACGCGGACAAGGCGTCCCCCGCGCTGCCTTGTGTCACTGATCTCTTCAGCACGTTCCCGATCCCCCGAAGAAACGCCATCGCGGGAAGATTCAGATATTAACTGAATAGATCGTGTGAATAGATCGTAACACGGTTGACGGTTTCCGCTGCTTGGAGCCTTCAGCTGGAAGCAAAAGGCAGCACGAGCACCGAAAGCGAACTAGGACAATGACCGAGGCAAGCAAATCCAGGCAGCAAAAGCGCTGGACGAAAAGCTAAACAAGAGAGCCCCAGCTTGGGTTATTTGAGCGACGATGGACCGATGGTGATTTTGCGCTGCTGTGGCACGGAGAGGGCAAGGTTGGAAGAAATGGAGGAATAGGAAGCACAAGGCGCACTGTACAAGACCAGTTAGGCTTATAGCGGAAAGTAAAAAAGACTCTTATCGAAAACGCCCAGTTCTCACAAGGGTGGCAGTGGCTGGCTCCGTGGACCGTGCTGGGAGGGAACCAGGGCTTGCTGTATCGCTCTGCATGGATCAGGCGTGCGACTAATTAGCAAAACTTTCTCCGTGGTCCACCACCACGAAAACCCTAGTACACCTGAAGGCGTATATCTCCCCACATAGAGAATTAACTAGTATGCTATACCTTGCAAGGATTTCTGTTGCAAATCGGACCATGAGGCATTGACGAACGACCAGAGAAAAAGGCAGCCTAACTTTCACTACGCAGCTATTTATTTACCACCACATGATGACAACCTAAGGAGTTTGCCATCAAATGCGACAAATAAATACTTGGTTTCCCCTCAAATAAATACTCTCAGTAAGCTGAGGCTCGTTTCCTTAGGCCTGGAATGAAAGCCGATATTTCCTTCTCAAGGTCTTCCAGGCTCTGCTCCAGCTGCTCCTGAAAGTCCCTATCCACCTCGGTAACCGCCCGCCCATGCACCACCACTGCTCTCTTGCACACCACCACAAACCGGACTATCGCAGCCGTCAACATCTCCAGCTCCGACGGCTGCAATTTCTCCGGTTCCTTGGCCCGGGGGTTCGCCCCCTGGGGATTCGCCTGGTAAAACGCCATGCACACCCCCAGCACGCCACTGTTCACCTGTAGCGCCACACTGCCCTGCAGCAACCGCTGCAGCGTCTGTAGCCTTGGCAGCTGTAGCGGCCCGGACCCAGCTGCCATTGCCGCCGCTACAACCGCTGCCGGATCCTTCTTACCCGCCGGCCCTCCTGCCGCCCCTGCCGCCCCGGAATCCCCCAGCTGGCTGGCCATCTCAGCCTCCAGAGCAAACGACCGAGATTCGATAATCTCCACTGCGCACTGGATCGGCGAGTACTCCCGAACCTCTGACCGAACCACGGGCTGCCGGCTGATTAGGCTCGGGAGTGTGCTCTGGGTGTACAGCAGTGTTCGTCTCTTCCACTGGTCCTCCATCTTCCCCTGCTGCTTCCCATTTGGCGTGAACGGCGTGTCAAAAAAGAAGCAGCTGAAAGTCGGAGTCCCCGCGATTGGCGGCTCGAGAGGCCTTCCCAGCCATCGATCCTCCCCGATCCCGACCACGGGTTCAACGGCTGTGATCTGCATGTACACGAGGTTGGGCTTGAGCGCCGAGGGGTCCACCTGGCGCGAGTCCTGGATGATTTGGAGAGGCTCCTCGTCAGGCGAGCGTGCGTCGTACAGCGCCTTGAGCTTCTCCATGATGTCGCCCAACCGCACGTCCCTGGGCTCGCGGTAGATGAACTCCCTGACAAGAAGAGCAGGGGTTCGGCATGGGGATCGGCGGCATGGGGATGGCAAGGAAATGATTTTGAGTCGACTAAAAAATCGACTCATTACACTCGCGGTAGATGAACTCCCTGTCAAGAAGAGCAGGGGATCGGCATGGGGATGGCAAGGGGATGATAGTGCACGAATCTGTAGGGGTTCCGCTTTTGAGTCGACTCAAGAATAGTGCACGAATCTGTAGGGGTTCCTCGTCCGGGGAGCATGCGTCATAGAGTGGCTGGAGCACCCAGCCTCATGTCCCTCCGCTCGCAATAGATAAACTCCCTGGAAGGTGGTGGTGGTGGGGGGGGGAGGGAGGAGGAGGGGGGGCGTGAGGGGAAGGAAGAGGGGAAGGAGGGAGTGAAGAAGACTGATGAGGGAAGGAATTTACCCAGAAATGAGACAGCATGGGAAGGCAGCGAGGGTGTTTACCTGCCATCGATGTATCGGAAGCGTTCCCCATAGAAGCCGACTCGATAGTAGCAGGCGTCCTTGAAGGGGATGGGGCTTGTCTCCTGCTGCTCCACGTTCTCGTAGATGGATGCGATCTTGTTGTGCGTCTTGGTCAGCTGGAGGAGGGGGGAAAGGTAAGGGGTGAGGAGAGTGGGGGTGGTAGGATAAAAGGTGCAGATCAGGAGGTCAGGGTGGCCCTCCAGCTGCTCCACCTTCTCGTAGATGGAGAGGGAAAGATCCTGTTGTGCGTCTTCGTCAGCTGGGGGGCGGGGAGATGGTAGCAGGGTGCAGAGCAGGGAGGCAACAGGGAGGCCCCTCGTTTGTTCTCCTGCTGCTCCACGTTCTCGTCGATAGAGGCTATTTGTTGTGCGACTTGGTCAGCTGGGGGGGGGTAGGATTCAGGGTAGTGCAGGGCGCTCAGCGGAGGTGGATTTTGGGCGACAACTAGGGCCCAGGGGGTTGCTCTGCTCTCCTGCTGCTCCCCCATCAATGGATGCCATCGTGTTGTGCGTCTTGGTCAGCTGGGGGGCTTTATAGCAAGTGCTTAAGGGTTCCCTTAGCTTCCTCGTTGTCATTCTCGCCCTCCACACTCTAGATCACTTTTCCCCTCTTCTCTCCCCCACCTCTTTTCCCCACCCTAGTCAGAAGACCCCTGACCCCACCTGCTTGTAGTCGTGGCGAACGCGGAAGAGCGGCAGCAGCAGTGCGAGCATTTCAGCGCAGAAGTGGAAGAGCTCCGCCTTGTAGAAGAAGTTGGACGCCATCTGCAGGTGCTTCACCGCGCCCTCCACCGTCAGGCTCGACGCGCCAAACTCCGACTGGGAAGAGAAGGCTCGCGCGCGCCACTGGTGCCGCGCCAAGGGGCAGATGCTCCAGAGCACTTCTAGATGCTCTTCATCCCACACCAGCTCTTGAGACGCGATTTGCAGACCCTGGTGGGGTTGGGGAAGGGGGGATGGAGATCGGGGGAAGTAACCATGTGAATGCTAGTTTTGAGGCGCCTCGAAACTAGACTCCTATCACGCGGTTTTTTATACATGGAGATCGGGGGAAGTAACCATGTGAATGCTAGCACCACTGGTGGCGCGCCAAGGGGCAGATGCTCCAGAGCACCTCCAGGTGCTCCTCGTCCCACACCAGCTCCTGGGACGCGATTTGCAGACCCTGCAGGGAGGAGAATGGGAGAAAGGGGGGAGGAGAAAGACGACGGGAGAAGGGAGAGTAGTCTTGAGTGCCACTAGGGGTGGCGAGTCTATTTTTGAGGCGCCTCAAAAATAGACTCCTCACTCCTGGCACGCGATTTGCAGACCCTGCAGGGTGGGTAACTGGGGGAGGAGAAAGACGATGGGAGAAGGGAGAGTAGTATTGAGTGCCACCAGGGGTGGCGTGCCAAGGGGCAGATGCTCCATACGACCTCTAGGTGCTCCTTGCCACACACTAGTTCCTGGGATGCGACTTGCAGGCTGTGCAGGAGGGGGTTGTGGGGGGGTGGGGGGTGGGGGAGGAGATGGGAGGTGTGGAAGTGGAGGGGATGTGGGGGGGAGGGGTGTCAAGACGGAGAGCGCTTGGATGGCAATGCCAGCCCCAGCGACCTAGACCCCAAGCCAAGGCACAGAGACGACTATCCGGAATGCTCCATTTGATTCACAAAGCCAGCCCTGAGACCTAAACCCTCAAAAGCAATGCCTGAGCCCCTGATGAAAGGAGTGTGTCTGTCTCACCCGAATGACAATCCCGGCAACAGAGACAGCACACTGAGCTGCTTCCGCCCACTGGTTCATCTCCTGGTGCGCGTCGCAGAGGTGCAGCATCCACATGATGTACAGGTCCGGCACGTGCCCGTACGCCTGCGCCAGGATGTAGTAGCTCTCCACTATGGCGTACTTGTCGTTGGACGTCTTGAGGCCCTCCATCTGCATTGGCATGCGCGTGGGGAGACAGCGGGGAGGGGAATGGGTGCTTGGAAGAAACGCAACAGGTCGGGCACGTGCCTGCACGCCTGCGCCAGGATGTAGCAGCGCTCCCCACTATGGCGTACTTGTCGTTGGACGTCTTGAGGCCCTCCATCTGGTGATGGATGTGGAGAGGAGACAGGGGGGAGGGGTATGGGTGGTTGAAAAAAAACTCAACAGGTCGGGCACGTGCCCGTACGCCTGCGCCAGGATGTACGCGCTCTTCACTACGGCATACTTGTTGGAATGATCGCAAACCTGCGTCCGTCCACCGCTGTCGGCAGCAAACCCCGAGTCTTTTTAAGCACAAAAAACATATTCGCCTCACAATTGTCAATAGGCACCTAGAAAATTGATTTCTCACCAGCTGTTTATGCTGCGAGGCTGCATCCACCACGGTGAGCAGCATATTCTGCGTCTCCTCCACATTCGCCCACGTCCACCGGTCAAAAGGGGGCTGCCCGTGTGCCCGTGTGCACGCACTTAGACGTACTATCACCTCACCCGCTATTTACAAACATGCGTCTCGATTAGACACCTAAGATATGGACGCCTCAAGAACAGACAACTCACAAATAGACGTCTCAAAAGTAGAGCTCTCACCAGCTGTTCGTGCTGCGATGCTGCATCCACCACAGTCAGCAGCATATCCTGCGTCTCCTCCACATTCGCCCACGTCCACCGGTCCCTCTCCCTCTTCCTCCGCCTCCCCACCAACACACTCCCCCCCTCCTCCCACTCCTCCTCCTCATCCTCCTCCTCCTCCTCTTCCTCCTCCTCCTCTCCCTCATCCTCAACCACTATCTCAAGGCAAATCGACGGCAACCCACACTCGTCTAGCAGCTGGAACCACTTATCCTCAGTCCCTAGCTCCTCCAAAGAGAGTCTCAGTTTCTCAACCTCAACTGACTCCACCAGATCCCCTGCCGCCGCCCCAGAAACCCCCCCACCAGCGGAGCTGGACACGCTGCTAGAGCGAGAGGTGGGGCCGGGGGAGGGCGAGGGCGAGTGGAGCAGGCGCATGTGCGAGAGCACCTCGGAGAGGGCCACTGTGAGGATGACTCTGAGGCGCTCCACGTCCCGCATGTGCAGCAGGGCGTTCTGAGGGGGAAGGGAGGGGAGCAGGGAAAGGGGAGAGTGCGGCTGAGGGCGAGGGTTTGTGGAGCAGGCCCATGCGGGAGAGGACTTCGGAGAGGGCCACTGTGAGGATGACTCGAAGAAGCTCCACGTCCCGCATGCGTAAGGGGCGTTCTGAGGGGGACGAGGAGGGGGGGGGAGGGTGTGGGAGGGGAGGGAAGGGGAGATAGAGTGGGGAAAGATTGAGGGCGAGTGGAGGAGACGCATGCGCGAGAGCACCTCGGAGAGGGCCACTGTGAGGATGACTCTGAGGCGTTCCACGTCCCGCATGTGCAGCAGGGCGTTCTGAGGAGGAGGGGGGGAGGGGAGGGGAGGGGGGGGAGGTAGAGTGGGGAAAGGGGAGTGTGAGAGTGAGGTCAAGAGGGGTTAGAGAGAGCAACTGTGCAGATGACTCTGAGGAGCTCCACACCCCTCAGGGTTCTCAAACGGATCCTTCAGCAACACATGCCATACCATCCCACATCCCACATGCACATATCCACACATGCACACATGCACACATGCGCACATGCACACATCCTCACATGCACACATGCACGCAACACCAGAGGTCCACGCCATGCCACCCACCCGCAGCAGCAGCAGCAGGCAGAGCAGCGCCCTCTTCCTGATGAACTCTGGCCGGACTGCCATCTGCCTCAGCAGACTCCCAAACAGATCCTTCAGCAACATATCCCCACCCCTCCCCACCGCACTGCTGCCCCCACCACTCCCCCCCACATCACCACCAGCCTCAGCAGCAGCTGCAGCGGCCGCGGTAGCAGCAGCGGAGGGGGGCCCATCGAGCATGGCTTTGCCATGGAGCCGGAGCATTTCAGCGAATGCCGGAACAAAGGGCTCCCAGAAGCTCATGGGCTGGAGGAGGGGGAGGGGGGAAGAGGGGGGAAGGGGCGTATGGTGAGGCTCAAGCGGAGGGGGGCAAATCTCGCATGGCTTTGCCGTGGAGCCGGAGCATTTCAGCAAAGGCGGGCGGTGGCGGCCGTTGGCGGGAGGTGACGGGCGGTGACTGGTGGAGGCGGGCGGTGACGAGCAGTGGCGGGCAGTCGCGGTGACGGGCGGTGATGGGCGGTGACGGGTGGTGACGGGTGGTGGCGGGCGGTAGCGGGCGGTGGCGGCCGGTGACGGGCGGTGATGGGTGGTGGCGGGTGGTGTGAGTGTGTTTGGATGTGTGAATGTGTGTGAAAGACCCCACCCACCCACGTGCGGCAGAGCGAGCATGACGGAGAGCGGCCCAGTGAGGCAGTCAATGGACTGATGGTGCAGTGTGGGGTGCTGTGGACAGATGGTCAGCGGCCAGTGTGCCTGGGAGTGGAGTGGATAAACTAGCACAAGAGCGTGCAGCACACGCACCCACGTGCGGCAGAGCGAGCATGACGGAGAGCGGGCTGGTGAGGCAAGTCCGTGGCTACGAGCTCGTCAGCCGCCATAGTCAGTGGGCACTATGTGAGGGCGAGTGTGAGAAACCACACACACTGACCTGTGGCAGGGCCAGCATGACGGAAAGCGGGCCGGTGAGGCAGTCCATGCAGGCATAGTCCGTGGCCACGAGCCCATCAGCCGCCATGTCGCTGAACTTCTCGAGGATCTCCAGGACTTGCAGTGAGCACCACGCTGCCACGCTCGACTCCCACAGCAGCTGGGGGGGAGAATAGGGTTGAGCGGGAGAGGCGGGAAGAGGAGGGGTAGAGCCCATCAGCCTTGTCGAGGATCTCCAGCACCTGCAGCGAGCACCACACCGCCACACTCGACTCCCACAGCAGCTGCAGGACACACGGGTAAGAGGGGGTTGGAGAGGAATGGGGAGGGATCCGAAAGAGGAGAGAGAGTGGCTTGAGGAGCCATGAGGCCGTCAGCTGCCATGTCGCTGAGCTTCTCGAGGATCTCTGGCACCTGCAGCGAGCACCACGCTGCCCCGCTTGATTCCCACAGCAGCTGAGGGGGGCATTCGGGGAGAGCGGGAGAGGGGACCAGGAGGGGTAGTGCCCATCAGCCACTATATCGCTGAAGTTTTTGAGGGTCTGTAGCACTTGCAAGGAGCACGATGCTGCCACGCTGAGTTCCCACAGAAGCTAGCACCTGAGGGAGGGGCGGCGCAGGGGAGCTGCATTTGAGTTGACTCAAAAGCAGCCGAGGGAGGAATGCGGGGGGGAGAAGGTGAGACGGGGGGATGTGAGGGCACACACCCATACCACTGCGTCACTCAACAAGAAAAAGAAAAAGAGAGAAAGTAAGATAGAAGAAGAGCCCCCTCACCAGCTTCCTAGACGCGCTGGGCGGCAAGTTTTGTCTGAGGAGCGCCATGGCATCCTTCGGAGGCATTCTCGACCGCATGAGCACGTCTCTTAGAGACACGGGCCCCTTGGCGCCCGACACCGCGCCCCCAGTGACCTTGCGGATGATCTGCTCCCTCTCCAGCATCGCCTTGGCATCCCCCCGCGCCATCTTGGCCAGCAAGTCGTTGGTCGCCAGAGAGACACGCAAAACCACTCACCAGTTTTGTGGAAGCGCTGGGCGGCAGGTTTTGTCTGAGCAGCGCCATGGCATCTTTAGGCGACATTCTCGACCGCGCGAGCACATCCCGCAGAGAGACCGACCCCTTGGCGCCCGACACCGCACCCCCTGTGACCTTGCGGATGATCTGCTCGCGCTCCAGCATCGCCTTGGCATCCCCCCGCGCCATCTCGTCCAGCAGGTCGTTGGTCGCCAGAGACACGCGGTCGGAGAACATGGGGATTGGCGGCGGCTCCACTGCGAGCAAGGCATCGGGCGACGCAGCCTTGGAGGGGCCGGACTTGGAGCCGGAGGGAGGGCGGGGCTTGCTGCCAGCTGCCATAAGCTGGGGGTTGTGCTGCAGGGGAGTGGGCGAAGGGGAGGGTGTTGGGGCGGGGGTGGGGGGGAAGTGAGGGGAGTAGGGGGCGTAGGGGCGTGGGGGGGGGGGGGGGGGAGGAGGAGGTGGAGGGGGATAGAAGAGTTGAGTGCAAGATTGAGGGAGAAACGAGGAGTCTCAGCATGTGTACTCACCAAGGTGCAAAAAAGCAGCCGCTTTTTTATTACCGTAAAAAACGGTATCGTTCTTTTCGGCCGTTTTAAACAGTAAAAAACGTTTCGAAAGTGTGTTTTTGAGTTGGTGCAAAAAAACGACCGAAAAATACAGTCGTCTTTTTGTACCTGTCAATTGTTGGAATTTTTTTCAGTACAGACAGTCGAACTCGCTGTAGTGAGTACTGACGTCGGCCCTCTGAGAACGTTGTTGAACTTTCGCCGAAGCGCGAATTCAACACTTTCTTGAACCGCGGAATTTCGACATTTGGCGAATTCAGAACGGACAGAACACCCGTCTCGTCAGTGTCGTTGGCTGATTTCGCGCCCTGCAATCACATTTTTCGCGTGCGTCGCGTCTTCACGACGAATTCGCGAGGTGCAGATTCAACCCTCGACCAATCACAACCCCAGCTTTGTGTTCCCCAACACCAAGCCCTTGGAATGCCTTGCAGCATTGCTGGTCAGCTGTCAAGTACAAACATCGAGCATAAACAGAAAGATGAGCAGATTCAGGTAGATAGTTCGCCGTCTCTACTTCTACTCAGCTATCATCTTCCCAGCACCACGCCATGCCTAGGCGGACGTCCGACGTTTGGGAGCATGTCAAGAAGGTTAAGGGCCCGAAAAGGCCTTGTAACCAGCTGTGTGTGCGTTCACTGTGGAACGATTAGTGTAAACGTGGCCTTGGTTCTGCTCGTTTCCGCCTGCCTGTCAAATTGTTTTGTCCCAAAAAAGTATATTAAACAAACGGTCGTTTGTTTAAGAAATCCACCATAAAAAACGACAATTTTTTTCGGACCGTGATTTTCGAAAACCGAATTTTCGCACCTTGGTACTCACAGTGCAAAGCACCTGCAAGGTCACAGATGAAGCACCTGAGGAAACACCTGAGGAAGCACATGAAGCAGCACCTGAAGCAGCACCCGCAAGTAAGCACCTGAGGAAGCACTTGAACCAGGGTGTGAGAAGGTACCTGGAAGAGCACGAGGGCCTGCTGCAGGAGCGTGAAGAAGAGGCGCGCACGCACGTCGCTCTGTGCAGTGCGTCGGCGTCCAGATTACATGCAAGTCGCCCCAAAGGTAACCTTAAGCAACGAACAACGCACCTGGAACAGCACGAGTGCTTGCTGCAGCAGCATGAAGAAGAGGCGTGTGCGCATGTCGCTCTGCTTCCATGACGTGAGCAGAGAGCACCTGGGAAAGCACCTGAGGACGCACCTGAAAGAGCACGAGGGCCTGCTGCAGTAAGGTGAAGAAGAGGCGTGTGCGCACGTCGCTCTGCTTCCACGACTTGAGCAGCGTGTCGCTGTCCAGGTTGCGCACCACCGTGAGCATCACCACCAGGATCTGCCGCCTCTGGATCACACCCAGGGTGTTGAACGTCTCCACCTCGTCCAGGATCTTAGTGTGGTGCGGAACAGTGAAGAGGGGTAGAGAGTGTAAAAATATGGTGCTTCGTTATTGGACACAGCAAATGTGAGGTTGCAAGGATACCTGGAGCGGATTCGGACCATCTAGAGGCAATACTGGCCATGTTGATAATGGGGGTATGTGCAGCGTCCGCTCTGGCTGCTGGCATGCAGAGCAGACCAGCATGGGCCTGTGTGGGAGTGTGACTGACCATGTTGACGATGGGCATATACAGCGTCAGCTCCGGCTGCTGGCATGCAGACCAACATGGGCATGCATGGGAGTGCCACTGACCATGTTGACGATGGGCATGTTCAGCTGTGCGATATACAGCTTCAGCTGCGGCTGCTGGTACACAGACCGCACTGGATATGTGTGGGAGTGAGAGTGAGCGACCATGTATGCCAGTGCGACTGACCATGTTGACGATCGGCATGTACAGCTGTGCGATGTACAGCTTCAGCTCTGGCTGCTGGTACCGCGCGTCGTACTCATGCTTAGCCACCTGGAACGCCAGCATGCGCGCAGCCTGCAGGCAGGGAGGCAGGGGGGGGGATGTTGGGGGGGGGGTCAGGGGAAACAACAGAGGGACAGCGGGTTACGCTCGTAGAGGGGGAATAGTTGAACAAAAAACAAAGGAAAGACAAGGTAAGGAATGAGAACATCGAGCCGGATGATTGACAGAGCACGCATCCTAAGGCGGGGCAGGCTTGCATGGCATGCATGGCAGGGGCATACCAGCGATCGCTGACTGGGATCCTCGTGGTCGAGGCTCACAAAGAGATCCTTCAGCAGCACTGTCGTCAGATAGTTCCTGGGGGGAGGGGGGAAGGTGTGTGGGGGGGGGGGAGGGGAGGGAGAGGAGCACGCAGAGAATAGGTGGGGGTACGAAAAGGAGATAGAGCAAGAAGGCCTTCACCAATACTGTCGTCAGGTAGTTCGTGATTATCCGTGCTGCTGGGACGATGGCGATGGCAACGTTGATGAGGACGAGGAGTGGTGGAGGGGTTGCGGAGGGAAATCAAAATCTGGCAAGTACGGACGTGAGTGAGGGCAGACGTGACCAGATAGCGATGCGGCAGAAGCTAGCGCGTTACTTCTTCCCCTACCTCAAACGAGACACGTACTTCTCTGTGGGTCCTCTGCCCGGCGTCTCGATGTAGAGGTCATGGTCGCACACTATCCGCAGGAAGTGCAGCTTGAACATGTGCTGCATGGGCGGACACACGCCCACGAACTGCGATAGAAAGAGCCCCACCTGCGGTGCGGTGAAAAAACATGGGTGGGATGGGTAGGAGAGAGTGGGGGGAAGGGGTTGGAGAGGAAGGGAGTGCAGCTTGAACATGTGCTGCATGGGCGGACACACGCCCACGAACTGCGATAGAAAGAGCCCGACCTGCGGTGAGAATAGGTAGGTGGGATGGGTAGGAGAGAGCGGGGGGAAGATGGAGAGGAAGGGAGTGCAGCTTGAACATGTGCTGCATGGGCGGACACACGCCCACGAACTGAGATAGGAAGAGCCCGACCTGAGGTGACAGAGGGCGGAAGGGGGAGGTGCGAAGGGGGAGAGGAGTGGCCGGGGGGAAGCATGGATGGAGGAGGGGAGCAACCACACGCACGAGCAGCCAGGGAAGCCGAGGCTCTTGGCGAGGGGGGAGGGTAGCTGGAGACAGCTGGTGAGGCGTGTCAACATACTCCAGGAGGGATAGAGAGAGAGAGAGAGAGAGAGAGAGAGAGAGAGAGAGAGAGAGAGAGAGAGAGAGAGAGAGAGAGAGAGAGAGAGAGAGAGAGAAGGAACAGGACGCTATTTTTGAGGCACATAAAAAAAGGGATAGAGAGAGAGAGAGAGGCCCGATGACGGAGATGAGGGAACAGGACGCTCGCGAGTTTGAAGACTTGTGGCGGGTCGATGACGGAGATGAGGTCGTAGCAGAAGAAGGAGATGGAGGAGCTCAGGCTCTTGGCCAAGAGGGTAGGCGGAGACAACCGCTCAGGCTTTTGAGGCGCCTCAGAAGGGCTCGAGGGGAGAGGAGAGAGAGCTCACCACTTCAAAGACTTGTGGCGGGTCGACGACGGGGATGAGGTCGTCGCAGAAGGAGATGGAGGAGCTCAGGCTCTTGGCGAGAGGGGGGGGTAGCTGGAGACAGCTAGTGAGGCGCGTGAACTAAAGATATAGAGAGAGGGAACAGGATGCTCACCAGTTCAAAGACTTGCGGCGGGTCGACCACGGAGATGAGGTCGTAGCAGAAGAAGGAGATGGAGGAGCTCAGGCTCTTGGCGAGGGGCGGGTCGGAGTCGGCCTTCTCATGCACCTCAGCCAGCAGGCACTCGAACAGCTGCCGGATGCACAGAAACACCTCGTCCTCCAGCCTTAATCTTGCGATCTCGTCGCCTGGTGTGGAGGGGGGGATTCAAAGCATTAAGCACCGGATGCACAGAAAGAAACGCCTTCTCCTGTCTTAGCTTAGCAATATCTCGTTCCTGCATGGACTGGACCATGACCTCTATCATTAATCTTATCTCGCCTTGCGTGCCGTGCGGCACTCAAAACCAGCAGCTCCCCTTGCAGCACTCAAATAAGACTCATCATCCTGTGGCACTCCTTGAGTCGAGAGAGACTCACGTGGACTGGCAGCGCAGAAAGCGACTCACTCACCCTGTGGCACCTGCGCGAGCTCCAGATCCATGGACTTGACGATCAACTGCAGCACAAACCTCGCCATCTGCGTCTTGACGATCAGCTGCAGCACAAACCTCGCCATCTGCACCTGGGGCGCCTCTAATGATACCCACCCTGGGGAACTGGGGCGACCTTCAGCTCTCTCACCTTGCGGCACCTGCGCGAGCTCCAGGTCCATGGACTTGACGACGAGCTCCAGCACAAACCACGCCATCTGCAGCGCCTCCGCGTACACCGGGCCCACTCGGAAGCCCCGGGACTGCCGGGATGGGGGGGGGGGGAGGGGGAAGCGAGAGGAGAAGGGAGAGAGCGTGACAAAGTGACAACACAAGCGTCGCCATCTGCAGCGCTTCTGCGTACACCGGGCCCTCTCGGAAGCCCCGGGACTGGCGGATAGGCGAGAGAGGTGTGTGGGAGGTAAGGTAGGGAAGAAAGGAAAAGGGGGGGGGGGGGAAATGGCGAAGGAAGAGCTTGTGAGGATGGGAGGTGCAGTTTAAGGAAGCAGAATGAACTGAAGGGGTACATGGGAGGCTGGTTGTGACCCAGGTCCTCCGAGATAAAATCCAGAGTGATAAGGTGCCTCAAACCACGTCTATTGTCAGTCACTCCTACCTTACTGCGAGCCAAACTGCGCCACACGTTGCTGAGCCCCGGGTACACCGGCGGCTGGTTGCGGCCGAGGTCGTCAAAGATGAAGTCCACAAAGTGCACGAGGAAGCGGCTGCGCTCCATGGGGGCTGATGACTGCGGCGCCAGCTCCAACTGAACTCTGCTCAGAGCGGAGGACAGGGGGGGTTGGGGGGGAGGGTTTGGGTGTGGGTGAGGGGGGGAGAGGAGTCGGGGAGGTCGTCGAAGATGAAGTCCACAAAGTGCATGAGGAAGCGGCTGCGCTCCATGGGGCTCGAGCCTGACTGCGGTGCCAGCTCCAGCTGCACTCTGCTCAGAGTGCACGGGGGGGGGGGGGGGGGGGGGGAGAGAGGCAGGAGATATAAGATGGCATGGCATGATGGTGGGCGCAAGGCATGAGAGAAACAAGCATTTGAGCACAGGCGTGCAACCAACCAACCAGCCTGGGCACAGCTACCTTTTTGAGTCGAGTCAAAAGTCATTTGAGCACAGGCGTGCAACCAACCAACCAGCCTGGGCACAGCTACCTTTTTGAGTCGAGTCAAAAGTCATTTGAGCACAGGCGTGCAACCAACCAACCAGCCTGGGCACAGCTACCTTTTTGAGTCGAGTCAAAAGTCATTTGAGCACAGGCGTGCAACCAACCAACCAGCCTGGGCACAGCTACCTTTTTGAGTTGAGTCAAAAGTCATTTGAGCACAGGCGTGCAACCAACCAACCAGCCTGGGCACAGCTACCTTTTTGAGTCGAGTCAAAAGTCATTTGAGCACAGGCGTGCAACCAACCAACCAGCCTGGGCACAGCTACCTTTTTGAGTCGAGTCAAAAGTCATTTGAGCACAGGCGTGCAACCAACCAACCAGCCTGGGCACAGCTACCTTTTTGAGTCGAGTCAAAAGTCATTTGAGCACAGGCGTGCAACCAACCAACCAGCCTGGGCACAGCTACCTTTTTGAGTCGAGTCAAAAGTCATTTGAGCACAGGCGTGCAACCAACCAACCAGCCTGGGCACAGCTACCTTTTTGAGTTGAGTCAAAAGTCATTTGAGCACAGGCGTGCAACCAACCAACCAGCCTGGGCACAGCTACCTTTTTGAGTCGAGTCAAAAGTCATTTGAGCACAGGCGTGCAACCAACCAACCAGCCTGGGCACAGCTACCTTTTTGAGTCGAGTCAAAAGTCATTTGAGCACAGGCGTGCAACCAACCAACCAGCCTGGGCACAGCTACCTTTTTGAGTCGAGTCAAAAGTCATTTGAGCACAGGCGTGCAACCAACCAACCAGCCTGGGCACAGCTACCTTTTTGAGTCGAGTCAAAAGTCATTTGAGCACAGGCGTGCAACCAACCAGCCTGGGCACAGCTACCTTTTTGAGTCGAGTCAAAAGTCATTTGAGCACAGGCGTGCAACCAACCAGCCTGGGCACAGCTACCTTTTTGAGTCGAGTCAAAAGTCATTTGAGCACAGGCGTGCAACCAACCAACCTGGGCACAGCTATCCAGGAGAGACCCACCCACCCGCCCGGACACCACGTTGATCATGGCTCGAAACGCTGCCACCTGCAAGGTTTCCACGCCATTGCCGATCATGCAGAGCAGCATGTTGAGCAGCGGGTAGAGGAACTGCATCAGCACCACCACGTCCACCGCCCTAACCCACCTGGAATCCGCACACCTGACCAGGAAATACCTACCTCGAAACCACATTGATCATGGCACGGAATGCAGCGACTTGCAAGGTTTCCACGCCATTGCCGATCATGCAGAGCAGCATGTTGAGCAGCGGGTAGAGGAACTGCATGAGCACCACCACGTCCACCGTCTTGAGTGCATTGATCGCCTCTAGCAAGTCCTCCCTAGGCAGGGGTGCCTCCAGCATATGGCGGTCGAACTGGTGGAAGAAGTCCCGCAGGCGGTCTGACAGGGGCAGGAGCGATGAGAAGAGGCGCGTGCGCACGCGGAAGATGGGCCTCCCTTCCTCCCAGTAGGTCAGGCGTGACTGGGGGGGGGAGGGGTTGGGGTGGTGCGGATGTGGGAAAGAGAACAGCTCAGGCGGTCAGAGAGAGGGAGGAGCGAGGAGACGAGGCCAGTGGGCACGCGGAAGATGGGCCTCCCTTTCTCCCAGTAGGTCAGGCGCGACTGGTGAAGGGGAGAATGGGGAATATTTGGGGGAGGGAACTGAGGAGGGAATAGAGCAGGGGCGAGACAGGGCTGTCCAACAGGCTCATTGCACACAGCAAATCAACGTGACAGGAGTCTAATTTTGAGGCGCCTCAAAACTAGGTTCATCGCACACAGAAAATCAACAGTTTTGAGGCGCCTCAAAACTAGGTTCATCCCACACAGAAAATCAAGCCCCGCCATCAGTGCAGCACAGCGAAACAGAAGCCCACCTTGGTGCTCTCCTGCAGGTAGCGCGGCTGCAGATTCTTGGCGATGGGCAGTTTCACTTCACATGAGACCGTGCAAATCACACTTTTCACTGACGCCAAGCAGTCAGGGACCACCACTAACACAGCACAGCCCACGTTGGTGCTCTTCTGCAGGTAACGCGGCTGCAGGTCCTTGGATATGGGCACCGTGCACATGCCACCATGCACATGCCACCATGCACATGCCACCATGCCAACCACGCTCTACCACCACTACTGAATCACAGCTCACCTTGGTGCTCTCCTGCAGGTAGCGCGGCTGCAGGTCCTTCGAAATGGGCAGATTGACCTCGCCCTTGAACGCCCTGCCATGACGTCATCCAGATGATACACAAGATGCATGTGCGGATGTGAGATGCATGTGCGGATGTGAGATGCATGTGCGGATGTTAGATGCATGTGTGGATGTGAGATGCATGTGAGGATGTGAGATGCATGTGCGGATGTGAGATGCATGTGCGGATGTGAGATGCATGTGCGGATGTGAGATGCATGTGCGGATGTGAGATGCATGTGACGATGTGAGATGCATGTGAGGATGTGAGATGCATGTGAGGATGTGAGATGCATGTGAGGATGTGAGATGCATGTGAGGATGTGAGATGCATGTGAGGATGTGAGATGCATGTGAGGATGTGAGATGCATGTGAGGATGTGAGATGCATGTGAGGATGTGAGATGCATGTGAGGATGTGAGATGCATGTGAGGATGTGAGATGCATGTGAGGATGTGAGATGCATGTGAGGATGTGAGATGCATGTGAGGATGTGAGATGCATGTGAGGATGTGAGATGCATGTGAGGATGTGAGATGCATGTGAGGATGTGAGATGCATGTGAGGATGTGAGATGCATGTGAGGATGTGAGATGCATGTGAGGATGTGAGATGCATGTGAGGATGTGAGATGCACGTGAGGATGTGAGATTCATGTGAGGTTGGCAAGTGGTGAAAAGCCCTAGGACTGCAGACGGGAGCTGGTGGTTCGCGAACAGACAGTGGCACTGCTAAAGATAGAAAGAGAAGGCGGAACGTACTGTAGGGCAGCAGCGAGCGGCATCACTGCATAACCCACTGCCACCTGCATTCATACCACACATCACACCCAGTGACACAAAGCAAAGGGCACAGACAGAAACTACTTTTATCATTTCAATTTTTCAATCATGCAAGACCACAATATGCTTCAGACATCACCCTGTACCCCTTAGAAGCCCACCCTGCACCCCTTGCAAGTCAACCGCATACCCCGCATAAGCTCATCGGTTTGGGTCGTTCGGAGCGCAGGGAGAGGTCGATGTGGAAGAAGATGAAGAGCAGATGGTGCGAGGACGCCACTGCAGCGGGCAGCTGGATCTTCAGCCTGTACCCCTTACAAGCCTACGCTGTACCCTCATGAGCTCACCCTGTACCCCCTATAAGCTCACCGGCTTGGGTCGGTCGGAGCGCAGGGAGAGGTCGATGTGGAAGAAGGTGAAGAGCAGATGGTGCGAGGGCGCCACCGCTGCAGGCAGCTGGATCTTCACCTCGTCGTGAAACAGGGCGGGCCGCGTCCCCTGCACCACCTGGGTCGAGGCTGTTCGCAACATGGGGCCGTTGCGCTCCTTGGGGAATATGGCCTGGGGGAAAGGGAAAAGAAAGGGGGGAGAGAGTGGGGGGTGGGGGGAAACCAAAAACTCGATCATAAATAGCCCCTGTGCCCCCTTGCTCGCATAGACTTAAGCACTTTGGAACGGAGTGCTTTGGACCAGAGTGCTTTGAACCAGAGTGCTTTGGACCGGAGTGCTTTGGACCGAAGTGATTTCGAACGGAGTGCTTTCGACCGGAGTGTTCTTTACCAGAGTGCTTTCGGCTGGAGTGCTTTCGACCAGAGTGCTTTTGACCGGAGTGCTTTAGACCGGAGTGCTCCGGAGTGCTTAGGACCGGAGTGCTTTGGACCGGAGTGCTGCTTTGCATCGGAGTGCTTTGGACCGGAGTGCTTTGGACACGAGTGCTTTGGACCGGAGTGCTTTGGACCGGAGTGCTTCGGACCGGAGTGCTTTGGACCGGAGTGCTTCGGACCGGAGTGCTTTGGACCGGAGTGCTTCGGACCGGAGAGCTTTGGACCGAAGTTGGAATATGCGCGTATAGCGTTTTATACCAAAGCGTTTATACGAGAGCATATAAACGCAATACACTTAGGAGGAGGGGGTCGGATACGCGCAGAATACGGTGGCCCGGGCAGGGGATTTTTTTTTTTCTGGGCAGGTGGAAGTACGGGTTGCCTCAGCAGATGGGGAGAGGGTGATGCTGTAGGGCTGGAAGTCATGGTGGCGCGCAAGCTACGGTAGAAAGGGAACTGCGAGAATGAGTATCGAATGTTGAAATGGCAGTACTCTGTTTGAGGCTAACTTGTCTCAAGGAGGAGTTGGGAGGGATTGGGAAGTGACGAAGTGGAGAGGGTTGGACAGAGGTTCGAAGGGGGGGCTGGTGGGGTTAGGGTTCGAAATTTGAACTCGAAGTTGAGTCCGCGCGATGTGCGAAGGCGAGTTTTTTCCAACTTAGCTTTGGACCGGTGTGCTTTCGACCAAAGTGCTTCGACCGGAGTGCTTTCGACCAGAGTGCTTTGGACCGGAGTGTTTTGCACCGGAGTGCTTTGCACTGGAGTGCTTTGGACTGGAGTGCTTTGGACCGGAGTGCTTTGGACGGGAGTGCTTTGGACCGGAGTGCTTTGGACCGGAGAGCTTGGACCGGAGTGCTTTGGACCGAAGTGCTTTCGACCTGAGTGCTTTCCACCAGAGTGCTTTCGACCGGAGTGCTTTCAACTGGCGTGCTTTCGACCAGAGTGCTTTGGACTGGTGTGCTTTTGACCGGAGTGCTTTCGACTGGTGTGCTTTCGACCGGAGTGCTCTCAACCGAGGTGCTTTCGACTGGAGTACTTTTGACCAGTGCTTTTGATCGGAGTGCTTTTGACTGGTGTGTTATCGACCGGAGTGCTTTCCACCAGAGTGCTTTCCACCCGAGTGCTTTCGACCGGAGAGAGTTCGACCGAAGAGCTTTCAACTGGTGTGCTTTCGACCGGAGTGCTTTCGACCGGAGTGCTTTCGACCGGAGTGCTTTGGACTGGTGTGCTTTCGACCGGAGTGCTTTCGACTGGTGTGCTTTCGACTGGAGTTTTTTCGACCGAGGTGCTTTCGACTGGAGTGCTTTCGACCGAAGTGCTTTTGATCGGAGTGCTTTCGACTGGTGTGCTATCGACCGGAGTGCTTTCAACCGGAGTGCTTTCGACCGGAGAGCGTTCGACCGGAGTGCTTTCGACTGGTGTGCTTTTGACCGGAGTGCTTTCGACTGGAGTGCTTTCGACAGGAGTGCTTTCGACCGGAGTGCTTTCGACCGGAGAGCTTTTAACCGGTGTGCTTTCGGCCAAACACACCACCAACAGCCGTTGATCGTCTGTCACCTCCACAAACGACCGTTGGATTGCCACTCACCTCCACTGACCGCCGTTGGATGTTGAGGTCGTCCAGCTGCTGCTTCGGTGCGCATGAAGAGGTTGAGCTTCTTGGGCAGCGCCACTAGCTGCTGCAAGGGGAGAGTCACTACCTCTCCCTTGCACCTCCTCCCTGATGTAGCCCCCATCCCCACAACCACCAAGGGCCGACGGATCGCGACTCACCTCCACCGACGGCCGTTGGATGTCGAGGTCATCCATCCTGAGCTCGGTGCGCACGAAGAGGTTGAGCTTCTTGGGCAGCGCCACCTGCTGCGGGTACACGAAGAGCAAGTGCACCAGGCGCGTGAAGGGCTCCGCGCGCACCATGTCAGTGAAGTCAATGGCCTGGAACTGGGGAGGGGAGGGAGATGGGGAGGAGGAGAAGAAATAGGTTAGGCACCTGCTGCGGGTACACGAAGAGCAGGTGCACCAGGCGCGTGAAGGGCTCCGCGCGGACCATGTCCGTGAAGTCAATGGCCTGGAACTGGGGAGGGGAGGGAGATGGGGGGGGAGATCGGGGGAGGAGGGGGCAGAAAGAGGTTAGGCACCTGCTGTGGGTACACGAAGAGCAGGTACACGAAGAGCAGGTACAAAAAGAGCAGGTGCTCCGCCTGCACCATGTTCGTGAAGTCAACGGCCTGGAACTGGGGATCGTGTGCAGGGGACGAGAGAGGGGACAGGGGAGAGGATCAGAAAGAGGCTGCAGGCGCCTGCTGCAGGTGCACGAACAGCAAGTGCACCAGGCGCATGAAGGGCTCCGCTCTAATCCAGTGAAGTCAATGGCCCGGAACCAGTGGGGAGAAAGGGAACAGGGGGGGGGAGGGAGGAGAAGAGAAGAGGGGAGAAGGGGGGGGAGGGGAGGAGAAGAGAAGAGGGGAGAAGGGGGGGGGAGGGGAGGAGAAGAGAAGAGGGGAGAAGGGGGGGGAGGGGAGGAGAAGAGAAGAGGGGAGAAGGGGGGGGGAGGGGAGGAGAAGAGAAGAGGGGAGAAGGGGGGGGGAGGGGAGCAGAAGAGAAGAGGGGAGAAGGGGGGGGGAGGGGAGGAGAAGCGAAGAAGGGAGAGGGGGGGGGAGGGGAGGAGAAGAGAAGAGGGGAGAGGGGGGGGGAGGGGAGGAGAAGAGAAGAGGGGAGAAAGAAAGGAGGAAGCAAGGTGAATCTATACGAGACTAGTAGAGCAGTCTAAGAAACACAAGGTACTTCCTCCAGAAAGAAAAGCAGAAAACCAGGATTGCACAATAGGAGACATCCAAAAGCCACTTACCCCTGAGAGGACAGGCTCCAAGGAACCATAACAACTTCGTCCAAATATGAACTCATGGGGGGTCCTGCACTGCAAGCACACAGGCACGCCCGGTTCACCCCCTCCAAGAGATTTCAAGGAGAGGAGATTCCCAAGTCAAGGCACTTACTCCTGAGAGGAATCTCGACACCAATAAGCTCCGTGGCACCCTGGCGACATCGTCCAAGTCGGAACTCATGGAGTCCTGCGAGCGCACCCGGTTCACCCCCCTCTGCAAGGCGAATCCAACGAGAGGAGATTCACAAGCCAAGGCACTTACCCCGGAGAGGAATCTGGACACAGACAGGCTGCGTGGCACCATGGCGACATCGTCCAAGTCGGAACTCATGGAGTCCTGCGAGCGCGCCCGGTTCACCCCCCGCCCCGACGAGTTGAGCGACTGGGGAGTCACACTCCCCCCTGCCCCGCCTGCCCCTCCCCCTGCCGGGCCCGGTAACCGCTCCACCTCAAAATGCATGGAGACGCGCACCGGCTTCTGTGATTTCTTCTTGGGGTCCTGGGGGTCGTGAGTGAAGGGAGTCAGGGGGAGTTGAGAGACCTGGGAGCCACACTCCCCCCTGCCCCGCCTGCCCCTCCCCCTGCTGGGCCCGGTAACCGCTCCACCTCAAAGTGCATGGAGACGCGCACCGGCTTCTTTGATTTCTTCTTGGGGTCCTGGGGGTAGTGATTGATGGGGGTCAGGGGGAGTTGAGAGACCTGGGAGTCACACTCCCCCCTGCCCCGCCTGCCCCTCCCCCTGCCGGGCCCGGTAACCGCTCCACCTCAAAGTGCATGGAGACGCGCACCGGCTTCTGTGATTTCTTCTTGGGGTCCTGGGGATAGTGAGTGAAGGGAGTCAGGGGGAGTTGAGAGACCTGGGAGCCACACTCCCCCCTGCCCCGCCTGCCCCTCCCCCTGCTGGGCCCGGTAACCGCTCCACCTCAAAGTGCATGGAGACGCGCACCGGCTTCTGTGATTTCTTCTTGGGGTCCTGGGGGTCGTGAGTGAAGGGAGTCAGGGGGAGTTGAGAGACCTGGGAGTCACACTCCCCCCTGCCCCGCCTGCCCCTCCCCCTGCTGGGCCCGGTAACCGCTCCACCTCAAAGTGCATGGAGACGCGCACCGGCTTCTGTGATTTCTTCTTGGGGTCCTGGGGATCGTGAGTGAGGGGAGACAGGGGGATTTGAGAGACGATCTGACTTTTGAGTCGACTTAGAATATTTCTTCTTGGGGTTCTGGGGGTAGTGAGTGAAGGGAGAGGAGAGAGTTGAGAGACCTGGGCGTCACACGCACTGCTGCCCGCTGCTGCTCCTCCTGCCCCTCCCCCTACCGGGCCCGGTAGTCCCTCCAGGTCAAAAGTGGTCTCCCCTGCTGCGCACTGGCTACTGTGCTTTCGTCTTGGGATCCTGGGGCGGTTGCGGAGTTGCCCGGGTGGGGAGGGGGAGAGAAAGAATGAATTAAGACTGAGTGAGTGAGGACGTGGGATGTTCAAAGGAGGGCTGAACTGGATGGGGAGCAGAAGAACGAAGCAAAGGAAGCGGAAAACAGAAGGATTCAGGGAGCTCTCACCAGCAGCTGGTCGGCGGTGTAGCACTCCTTGGCGCAGCTTACACCGTATCATGGAAGGCCTGGTGACTCACCAGCAGTTGGTCGTCAGTGTAGCACTCCTTGGCGCGATTCAAGCTGGGGATATCAATCTGCACCGGCGGCCCACCCAGCTCATAAGCCGGCACGCGCATCCCATTGCTGTCCACCACCGGACTCGTCCCAGACCCCGGCGTCCCCCCCCCTCCTTCCACGCCCAACACGCCCCCTACCCCCCCAAGGCTTCCTGAGGACCCTACGCCTGAACTGCCCCCGCCAGCTGCCCCGAAGCCCCCCACCCCGCCGGTGACGGAGGAGTCAAAGAGGGGAATGGTGATCCACGCGAAGGGCTCCCGGAAGGGCATCACCTGCGCCCACTCCGACAGACGTGCTGCCTCCTTCTCCGTCAGGGTGGGCTGGAGGGGGAGGATGGGGGAGATATGGCGGAGGAAGGGGGGGGGGGTTGAGGGATGATATTAGGGAGAGGACGATGGTGATCCTTGCAAAGGGCTCCCTGAAGGGCATGACCTGTGCCCACTCGGAGAGACGTGCTGCTTCCTTGTCCGCCAGGGTGGGCTGGAGGAGGGGGGGGAGGGGACGAGGTGAGGGTGTAGGGATGGAAGATACAGAGAGAAGGATGGTGATCCATGCGAAGGGCTCCTGGAAAGGCATGGCCTGCGCCCACTCGGAGAGACGTGCTGCCTCCTTGTCCATCAGGGTGGGCTGGAAGGGGGGAGTGGCGGGAGGAGATTGGGGGGTGGGAATTTGAGGGGTGATAGTAGGGAGAGGGGGGTGGTGATCCACAGGAAGGGATCCTGGAAGGGCACGACCTGCGCCCACTCGGACAGACGTGCTGCCTCCTTGTCCGTCAGGGTGGGCTGGGGGGGGAGATATGGGGGAGAGATGGGGTGGGAATCTCAGGGGTGATAGTAGGGGGAGGGGGATGGTGATCCACACGAAGCGCTTGCTGAAGGGCATGGAAGGGGAGCGGGTGGGGGAGAGAACAAGGTGAGAGAGGCAGAGAAGAGTAAGGTGGGGTCTCCAGCTGCACCAGCAGGCAGGCACCACCAAATCCTCGTCCACAGAGAAGATGGCGCGCTTGCTGGGGGATGTGCTCTCAAACGGATGCATGGAAAGGATGTCAGGCATGGCTCGAGGGGGTGGCTAGAGGGGGTGGCTAGAGGGGGTGGCTTGAGGGGGTGGCTTGAGGGGGTGACTTGACTTGAGGGGCCTCAACACCCACTCACCGGGTCTTTGCGAGTGTACACAGCCGGCTTGATCCCATTCACGCTCTCTTCACTGGCCGCCTTTTCCAGCTGCACCAGCAGGCACAGCGCCGCTGACTCCTTGTCAACTGAGAAGATGGCGCGAGTGTCGGGGGACGTGCTCTCCCCGTCCCATTGCGGTGGCAGAAACTGGAAGTGGAAGTCCTCCGACGCCTTCTCCCGCCGCTCCGCGTGGTACAGGCACATCGTGCCGCACACCGGCTCCACCAGGCCCGCCTGCACGTTCAGCCCCAGAATCCGCACCGAGAAGCGGGTGCCTCTGGGGGGGCGGCAGGGGGGGGTGGGAGGGGGTGGGGAAAGGATGGTCCTCTGACACCTTCTCCCACCGCTCCGCGTGGTACAGGCACATCGTGCCGCACACCGGCTCCACCAGGCCCGCCTGCACGTTCAGCCCCAGAATCCGCACCGAGAAGCGGGTGCCTCTGGGGGGGCGGCAGGGGGGGGTGGGAGGGGGTGGGGAAAGGATGGTCCTCTGACACCTTCTCCCACCGCTCCGCGTGGTACAGGCACATCGTGCCGCACACCGGCTCCACCAGGCCCGCCTGCACGTTCAGCCCCAGAGTCCGCACCGAGGATGCATGGGGAGCAGGTGCGGTGCAAGGAAGGATGCATGGGGAGCAGGTGCGGTGCAAGGAAGGATGCATGGGGAGCAGGTGCGGTGCAAGGAAGGATGCATGGGGAGCAGGTGACATACACAGAGGGCGAGGTGATGGGTCTGATGGGCAGGCGGTGGCCGATGACAGCAGCGCGCTCCGAGTCCCAGTTGAAGAGCGGGTCGTATGCCATTATGGTGGATCCGCCATAGTGCTGCTCGTCACGAGCCATGCAACAACAATGCCACGCCATGCCATGCAAACCATGCCATGCCATCCCATACCACCATGCCACGCCATGCCATGCACATCAGGCAAGACCATGCCGTGCACACCAAGCAACGCCATGACAGAAGAGTTGAGGGGGGGGGTGGGCTAGCTAGGAGGCAAGAGAGCCTTGATCAACTGGCACAGCACAGCAGTGCCCAATCGAATCACTCAGGGAGCTTCCGTGAGCACAAGAAGGGAAGGTAGCAGGCTGTGTTAGCCTGAGTGCCTCCAGTTCCTCCACCCAGCAGCGCGCGCTTACCTCGTCCATGGACCTATCCCCGACATAGGGATCCTCGTATTCCTCCTCCCCTCCATTCTGCCTGTAGGTCCCCCCTGTGGGGCAGGGAAACAGATAGCAGGAGGAAGAAAGCAGAACAGGGGTGGACGGAGTGGACAGGGTTACAACTTACAGGTGAGCAACATGGTAAGGTAAGAACCTTCAAGCTGCATTTAACCCCCTTTCCCCCCTGCTTAGGACCCAGCTACCCGCATCTTTGTAGGCTTCTGAAACTCACCCGGAGGGGGATCGCCAGGGTTGGAGGGGAAGACTTGCTTGGCGAAGGTGAGGTGGGGCTCGCAGATGAAGGTGCCGTACTTGTTCTCTATGTGCACGAAATCCGCGTTCACGCAAAAGTCCAACTCGCGCAAGTGGGGCACCTCCTCCGCCTCCGGCAGAATCTAGAGGGTGGGGGAGGAGCAGGGGGGGGGGGGGAACAGGAAAAATGGGGGGAGGGGAAGAGAGGGGGGAAGGTGGAGATGGGGATACGAGTTCACGAGGAGGGGAAAACGGAAGCGAAGGCTCGCACTTGGAAAGGCAAGAGGAAAATCGACTAGGTTTTTTTTCCTAGTTTATAAGGGTCAGCTCTCTCTCTATCCCCGCGGAACTTTTAAATACTTCTAAACCGGCTGTATTCCGCGTGCGATCGTGGCGGTCAGTAAAGGGCGAACTGACTCCTCCTCGCTTACAAGGGCCAAGAATCCGAAATAGCACATAATGAAAACCGCATTTCCCAACTTTCTAGAAACCGCGTTATAGTCAAGCTAAGGTGGCACATTAGAGGTGTCTCGCTCAGTTCACACAGGCGGTGCATTTCATTGCGAGTGGCCTACCGTCTAAGGTATCCACGTTGGACCCCTGTCTAGTTGTCGGAGGCCGCTCTTGAGTCGATTCAAAGGCCACAAGGCAGGGAGCTCACTGCTCTGCCTTAGATGGTAACCTAGTAATCCACATTTCATCATTAAGAATCAAGCTGACTCACCATGGAGTCCAGGTTGGACCCCTGTCCAAGAGTCGGAGGCCGCGGAACATACTTAATCTCCAGGAGACTCATGGCTGCTCGTGATTCAGGCCCCTCTGAGGGGCCTGCTCGTTACCCTGACTGGGAACGCACTACTGACGCATGAGGACTTATCGACGGCTACGATCGACGGCTACGATGCCTCTCTAGCTCCTCCATTTCGCCCTTTAGGTTTAAGTCCGAGATCACTGGCAGTATGGGAGACTGAGGATCGCGAGGCGAAACACTACGAGGCCACTACCTAGCCGATCAAAGACGACCGAAAAAACAATGCAAAACCTAGCCGAAGGCAATGCCGACGAGACTGGAGAGTTCCGACGCGACTGAAAGGCCGACGAAAATACCGCGATGGAGAATTGACTACGACTGTCGCAGGACTGTTCGGAATCGTCACAAGAGCGTATCGTACGGCTTGCTAGGAGGCGTCGTCATAAGGTAGTGGCCAACCTAACAACTCACTGGCTTGTTAGAAACGTCTTGAACACCACCACTATCCAACCTCTTCTCTGGTACAATGCGCTTCATTTGGATGAAGTGCGATTCAGTACGGTGAAGCAGCCAAACTACAGCCATCAGTAGGGCTCTGAGGGAGACCGAACCTCTATCCGCGTTCCCTCGAGAATTTCGTGGTCTGGAGCGATCAGGCTGGTTCGGGAACTCTTGGGACCTCCATTGCCGCCGCCGAAGCTGCGAAACGGCCAAACAAGCAGAGGTTGGAGCAGTGTTTTCGAACACTCCCAAAAATAGACAAGTTGATTATGATGTACACAAGAAGTGAAGTTTGAGTGACTAAGAAATCTTAAAACAGCTAGTGACCATGGAATGGAAGTAGAGTTGAGCAACAAAATCTCGACTAGCCCACATCCCCCGGACTATCAAACCATTCAACGGATCAGGGTTGCTTGTCAACAGTTGTATATTGGTTAAGTGGTTCCTCCAAAGACCCAAGCTCTGTGGCTTGAAACATGGATGGGAGTCTTGTCTTGTAGCTTTGCCATTGATGGGCCCAACAGCTTCACTGATTGGTCAGTCCAAGGGGTTTTATTGATTGGTTAGTCCCCAGGAGTTCCACTGATTGGCTAGTCCTACAAGCTCACTCCAAATTGATCATCATTCTCTAGTTAGTCGTTTCCAAAAAACTTGCTGCTGACCCTGCTTTTCCGCTTCAGCTCCTCTCAACTAGTGCTGTATCTGCAGATGCTGGAGGTACCGACCCTTGAACTGACGCCACATCATCTCCTGCTGCTCCTGCGCCTCCCTTTCCTGCCCTTGCCGCTTCTGATTGACCATCAGGCGCCAAGTCACCATCACCAGACACCTTCCCATCACCACCTCCTTCCCCCTCACCATCTCCCACCTGCTTCTCCCCTTCACCCACCTCACCTTCTCTAATCTCCCCATCCCCACTCCGCCCCTCCCCCACCTCCTGCCCCTCACCCGCACTACTAGCATCACCATCAGCATCAGCAGCAGCAGCAGGAGGGGCGGGGGGCATGGAGGCGAGAATGAGTTGCCTCACAGGCTCGCATGCCACCTGAGTGGATACGAGGGTGGTTGGAGAGCCGTAGCAGCGGGAGAAGCACAGAGCCACATAGGGGCACACCACCTGCAAGGGAGGATGGGGGGAAGAGGGGAGGGGGGTGGGCGGGAGGTGGAGAAGGGCGGGGGGAAGGGGGGTCTGGGGGAGTTTTGAGAGATTGAGAGAATGTTGAGCGGGTGCAGTGATGACTGCCAAATGGGTCTGCATGTTGCTTGGTTGGCAAAAGTGGGGCACGGCCAGGTGAGCAGAGAACTACCATCCTCTCACACACGCACTCAAGCACGCTTACCTCTACGAAAGCCCGGCACGTGCCAATAAAGAGTGCAGCCTCAGAGTCCTTGACTATGTGCGTGTGGCTGTAGCGAGCCAGAGACGCAGCCACTACAGCCAGCGCTCTTTCCACCTCCCCTGCCAGCTGCTGCCTGAGAGACGACGGCGCGCAGTGACGCAACTCGTTGAGTGCGGCAAGAATGCCTGCTCATGAGGGACGGAGCGGGAGGAGGGGGAGGAGGGGGGAGGGGGACAGGACAACGGGGGGGAAGGGAAGGAGTTGCAGCTTGAGAGACGATGGGGTGCACTGCCGCAGCTCATTGAGTGCTGCAAGAATGCCTGTTTATGCGGGGGGAGAGGGGGGAGGAAAGGGGGGAGGGGGGGGGATTGTGAATCATAGAATGCTACTGGTATGCCTGCTCTTGAGGGGGGAAGGCGGAAAGAATAGCAGTTCGCCCCACTATAGCTAAAAACATCTGCCAACGCGTCGAATGCTACTAATGTGTCAGCACTGCTCCATCCCCCTGGCCTGGCACCCACCGTTCACAAAGGCAGCGAGCGGCGGATGCTCCATGAGCGAATAGGGAGGCGCCACGTCATCAAGGGAGTCACCCCCCAGGCCCATGCCCATGCGAGCAGCAGAGCCCATGGATGGCAGCGGCACCCATCTGTGCGTGTCCAACACGTGCTGGGAGAGGGGGAGAAGGGGGGGGGAGAGGGAGAGGGGAGGGCGAGATGGGGAAGGGAGAAGGGCCACAACGACCCTAAGCCATGCGCGCAGCAGAGCCATGGATGGCAGCGGCACCCATCCGTGCGTGTCCAACACATGCTGGGGAAGGAGAGGGGGGGAGAGGGAGGGAGAGGAAGAGGGAACGAGAGGACGTCACGTCAGCGAGCTTTGTGACATTCAGTGAGCGCAACACATTCACCAGGGTGCGGCGATGCATGCACCAGACCAGGGGGTGGGGGGCTGCCAGGGGGGTTGCGATGGGGGCTGCGAGGGTGTCTTAGACATGGTGAGCGAATACCAAGAAAGAGTGACTACGTTGCAATCTGGCTTACATGGAATGAGTCTACTGCACAGGAGACGTTGCGCTGGAACATTCGGAGCACACAGCTGGGAGGGACGCATGGGAGGGACGCATGGGAGGGACGCATGGGAAGGACGCATGGGAGGACGCATGGGAGGGACGCATGGGAAGGACGAGGGAGGACGCATGGGAAGGACGCATGGGAAGGACGCATGGGAGGGACGCATGGGAAGGACGCATGGAGGGACGGGAGGACGCATGGGAAGGACGCATGGGAAGGACGCATGGGAAGGACGCATGGGAAGGACGCATGGGAAGGACGCATGGGAAGGACGCATGGGAAGGACGCATGGGAAGGACGCATGGAAGGGATGCATGGGAGGGACGCATGGGAGAAAAGTGGGAGTGGTAAGAGCGTTGAGCCAATGATGCTGATGATTATGAACGCGACTATATCAGATGAATCAACAGCAACACAAGGAGCAATAATTGCAATGGAAGGCAATAGCAGCACTAGTAGAGCATGGGAAGCCGCATGACCAGCCGCATGACCAGCCGCACGACCAGCTGCATGACCAGCGCATGACCAGCCGCACGACCAGTCGCACGACCAGCCGCACGACCAGCCGCACGACCAGCCGCATGAACAGGCCGCACGACCAGCCGCACGACCAGCCGCACCACCAGCCGCATGAACAGCCCGCCAGCCGACCCAGCCGCACGCACCGCAGACCGCCACGACCAGCCGCACGACCAGCCGCACGACCAGCCGCACGCCACCCCCCACGACCAGGCCGCACGACCAGGCCCACGACCAGCCGCACGACCAGCCGCACGACCAGCCGCCGCACGACCAGGCCGGCACGACCAGCCGCAACGACCAGCCGCCGCCAGCCGCACGAGCGCCGAACCAGCCGCACGACCAGCCGCACGACCAGGCACGCCCCGCACGACCAGCGCCGACCAGCCGCCACGGACACAGCCGCCACGGACCGCCGCCAGCGACCCAGACCGCCGGCACGACCAGCCGCCACGACGCCAGCCGCCGACCGCCGCACGACCAGCCGCACGACACGACCCAGCCGCACGACACCCACGACCACCGCACGACAGCCGCACGACCAGCCGCACGACCAGCCGCACGACCAGCCGCACGACCAGCCGCACGACCAGCCGCACGACCAGCCGCACGACCAGCCGCACGACCAGCCGCACGACCAGCCGCACGACCAGCCGCACGACCAGCCGCACGACCAGCGCACGACCAGCCGCACGACCAGCCGCACGACCAGCCGCACGACCAGCCGCACGACCAGCCGCACGACCAGCCGCACGACCAGCCGCACGACCAGCCGCACGACCAGCCGCACGACCAGCCGCACGACCAGCCGCACGACCAGCCGCACGACCAGCCGCACGACCAGCCGCACGACCAGCCGCACGACCAGCCGCACGACCAGCCGCACGACCAGCCGCACGACCAGCCGCACGACCAGCCGCACGACCAGCCGCACGACCAGCCGCACGACCAGCCGCACGACCAGCCGCACGACCAGCCGCACGACCAGCCGCACGACCAGCCGCACGACCAGCCGCACGACCAGCCGCACGACCAGCCGCACGACCAGCCGCACGACCAGCCGCACGACCAGCCGCACGACCAGCCGCACGACCAGCCGCACGACCAGCCGCACGACCAGCCGCACGACCAGCCGCACGACCAGCCGCACGACCAGCCGCACGACCAGCCGCACGACCAGCCGCACGACCAGCCGCACGACCAGCCGCACGACCAGCCGCACGACCAGCCGCACGACCAGCCGCACGACCAGCCGCACGACCAGCCGCACGACCAGCCGCACGACCAGCCGCACGACCAGCCGCACGACCAGCCGCACGACCAGCCGCACGACCAGCCGCACGACCAGCCGCACGACCAGCCGCACGACCAGCCGCACGACCAGCCGCACGACCAGCCGCACGACCAGCCGCACGACCAGCCGCACGACCAGCCGCACGACCAGCCGCACGACCAGCCGCACGACCAGCCGCACGACCAGCCGCACGACCAGCCGCACGACCAGCCGCACGACCAGCCGCACGACCAGCCGCACGACCAGCCGCACGACCAGCCGCACGACCAGCCGCACGACCAGCCGCACGACCAGCCGCACGACCAGCCGCACGACCAGCCGCACGACCAGCCGCACGACCAGCCGCACGACCAGCCGCACGACCAGCCGCACGACCAGCCGCACGACCAGCCGCACGAGAGCCTCACGATTCAAAGAGGGGCGGCAGGAGACCTCTGAGATCCAGCCCCACCCGGCCAAGACTCATGCCACAGTACTGCCAGGGAGCAAGGGAACAAGGGGCAAGGGGCAAGGAGCAAGGAGCAAGGGGCAAGGGGCAAGGGGCAAGGGGCAAGGGGCAAGGGCCAAGGGGCAAGGGGCAAGGGGCAAGGGGCAAAGGGGCAAGGGGCCAGGGGCAAGGGGCAAGGGGCAAGGGAGGCAAGGGCCAGGGAGTGGGGAGAAAGCAGTGAGGGGAAATGTGTGGGGAGGAGGGAACAATCGCAGGCAACACTGGGTCTTCAATGCGTGTGTGTGCCTACCGTGCAGTCAGCATTTGGACATACATCAGGTCTAGCATGCCACCATACTTACATGCTGCATGCACCACACGCAACCATGCCACATGTGAAACATGCTGCACGTTGCCCCATGTCTCCCCATAACCCATGTCTCCCCATACCCCATGTCTCCCCATACCCCATGTCTCCCCATAACCCATGTCTCCCCATACCCCATGTCTCCCCATACCCCATGTCTCACCATGCAATGTTCTAGCACGCTGGCCAACGACCCCCCATCCTCTATCCTCGGCAGGTGCCGTGCCAGCGCTGCCAAATACACTGCCACTCGATGCATGGCCCAACCATACACCAGCCCCCCATCGCCCCCCGCGCCCCCACCCCCCCACCCAGCCAAAACCGCCCCGCCTCCCCCCCTGCCCTTCCCGTACTTCCCCAACACTCCCCCCACTGCTCCCCCTGCCCCTCCCCCTGGCGCTCCTCCCCCTGTGGCTTTCTCTCCCAGCAGCGCAGCGAGTGCAGCCGAATCCTCTTCCAGGTTCGATGAATCTCCCGGTGAGGCGGAAGAGGGAGAGTCGTGGGCGAAGATGGCGCGGTACTGCGTGGCGACGTCGAAGAGGTGCACGCGGTGGCAGTCCGTGAGGCGCTTCAGGTAGTCGTAGGGCGAGGAAGGGTCCAGCTCAGACACCACCTCCCCCAGCCACGCCTCCCTGCACCGCAGGAACTGGAGAGGGGGGGGAGGGCAGGGGGGAGGGGGGGACAGGTGGGGAGAGCAAGGGCAGGGGGCCGAAGGCGACCCTTGAGTCAGCTCAAAAGGAGGAGGGGGAGTCGTGGGCGAAGATGGTGTGGTACTGCGTGGCGACGTCGAAGAGGTGCACGCGGTGGCAGTCCGTGAGGCGCTTCAGGTAGTCGTAGGGCGAGGAAGGGTCCAGCTCAGACACCACCTCCCCCAGTCATGCCTCCCTACACCGCAGGAACTGGGGCGAACGGGGGGTTACGGGGGGGGGGAGGGAAGGGGGGGTGGGGAGGGGGTGGGGTGGGGGGGGATAAAGGGCAGAAGGCCGAAGGTGACTCTTGTGTTGACTCAAAAGGAGGAGGGGGAGTCATGGGCGAAGATGGCGCGGTACTGCGTGGCAACGTCCAAGAGATGCACGCGGTGGCAGTCCGTGAGGCGCTTCAGGTAGTCGTAGGGCGAGGAAGGGTCCAGCTCAGGCACCACCTCCCCCAGCCACGCCTCCTTGCACAGCAGGAACTGGGTCGGGGGAGTAGGGGGGGGGAGAGCGAAGGGGAGGGAAGGGAGGACAAGAGGGAAAGGGAGAAGCGGGAGGAGGAGATGGGCAGAAGGGCAAAGAGGGAGGGAAGGGGGATAGGGAAGTGCGTGGGAGAGGGAAGATCAGGGGCTATGTTGGAAAACAAGCAGATTTGGTTTTGCGTTTTGCGTTTATACGCGAGTAAAATTCGTACACTGCGTTTTGGGTGGAGATTCGCCGAAAAACGCACGGGCTGACCGCGGAAAAAAGTTTTCCCGCGACAGGTCGCGACTAGGCGAAAAGAAAAAGGGTTTCGCACATCGCCAATTCAACTGCGCGGAATTGGGGGCTGACGACAAAAGCGGCACATCGCAAACTCGAATTGAGTTTGTGGCTTGAACTCCCAACCCCAAAAGGCTTCCCCACCGCATTCAATCTCACATCACCTCCCTTTCCCAACCTTTCTGCTTTATGACGATTGACGACTCACCAGAGTCCTGACGCAGAGGAGCAGCACCTAACCTAATTCCGCATCGTAACTCTCTAGCAAAGCTCCCTCCCTTAGTTCTCACGCCGTTGTTCTTAGCTCGCCAGGAGAAATGTTGACCCGTTCCTACCACTCCTCCTAGCGCGATAAATTTTCCTGCCCGCAATATTTTTTCCCCTGCCCGAACCTCCGTATTTCGTGCGTACCGCATACCCCCTTTCCAAGCATATTGCGTATAAACGCTTACGTATATACGCTGGCATACAAAACGCAATACGCGTATTTTCCAACATAGATCAGGGGGTGGGACAATGGGGTGGGAGAGATGGCAGAATAAAGAAGACTGTGGCAATGTCAAGGTTCACCTGCGCAACAGCAAGCTCACCTGCAGTCTGCTGCTCAAAGCTCACCTGCAGTCTGCTGCTCAAAACCCACCTGCAGTCGCATTTCTGTTTCTGAGAATACTGCCAATCGCCGGAGGTAGCCGATCACACGCAGACACTCGGGCAGCTGCAGAGAGTGCACGATGGGGGGCAGGGAGCAAGCCAAGGGCAGACAGGGGAAACTGAAAAAACAAAAAAAAACAAAAAACAAAAAAAACAAAAAAAACAAAAACAAAAAAACGAGAGAAAAGCAACAAAAAACACATCGTATTGCCGGTCCAAATAGTAGGGCAGCTAGTGCGGTTGTTGCATTATTTCTTTAGTTCTTTCCTGGTGAGGCCTTCTCACCTGGATGTTGGATCTCAGTCTGAGCAGCAGCTGCGACAGCATGGCCTGTGTGGTGTGCCGCACCTCCACTGCCAGCTGCTGGATCACCGGCAGCCTGGGGAGTGAGGGGTAGGCAAGAGAGACGGAGGGGAGGGGAGGGGAGGGGAGAGGGGAGGGGAGAGCATGTACTCTTGGTGTGCCGCACCTCCATTGCCAGCTGCTAGATCACCGGCAGCCTGGGGTGGTGCGTGATGGGTGGGCGCCGAAAACGGGAGGGGGGAAGGAGGGAGGGGGCGACTGAGTGGGGAGGTGGGGGGGGGGCGAGAGAGTAGACTAAATTTGCCACTTCTTAAATTCACCAGTGTGCTACCTACGAGGCATGCACGATTCTAGACGTATCTGGATCCACTTCACCTCCAAAACGGCTTCCCTGCGAACCCACCCACCCACCCACGCACTTGGCTTCCCCCGCCCATCCACCCATCTAACTATCCACCCATCCACCTGTCCATCCTCCCACCCACCCACCCGCGCACTTTACTTCCCCCACCCATCCACGCATCTACCCACCCACGCACTTGGCATGCATGGTTGTCAGTTTCGCCACGAATGCTTCCAGATCCAAAGCCTCGTCGTAATTCCCGTTGCGCACACACCTGCACGGGATGGGAGGAGGGGAGGGAGAGCAAAGGAGGGGACGAGCATAGGAGGGGACGAGCAGGGGAGGGGACGAGCAGGGGAGGGGAGGAGCATAGGAGGGGACGAGCATAGGAGGTGGCGGGAGAGGGAGAGTAGGTGGAACAAGGAACCGGGGAAAAGATCGGTGTGCTCATGCATGCATCCTCTCTTCTTTGATCCCGACATACATGGTTTGGTTTGATTGATCCATGGTCGCATTCACAGTCTAATTCATCCCTCAACTTAATCACACACCAGACACAGATGGAAGCTGCAGCTCCGACGAAAACGCAGCAACTGTTGGTAAGTCCATCGGGCACTCACACGTCCATGAGCCATGCATGAGCCATGGCGCTCACGTGTCCATGAACCATGCATGAGCCATGGCACTCACGTGTCCATGAGCTGCGGGATCTCTAGCAGGTCCATGAGCGTGGGGTGGGTGGCAAGCATCGTCTTGTTCAGCCGCCTCTTCTCCACCACCCCCTGCGCCTCCTCCAGGAACTCGTTGCACCCCGTCGTGAGCTTTGGGATCTCCGACACCTGATGCCAGCCCCGGGAGGGGAGGACTAGATTGTTCCTATTCTCATGCACCAAGGTAAGAGCAGAGGGATTCCCGACGCCTGATGCCACAACCAGGAGGGAAGGACTGAGGTCATTTGAGATTCAGGCAATGACAACGAGAACGGTGCGGCAATGACCAAGACAATGACGATGCGCTGTGGTGCCAGGCGTGCTGAGATTTATATGAAACACGCAATGTCAGTCAGGCTGTTGCGCCTCACCAGCAACCCCCGGGTGTTGGTCGATGGAGGCGATCTCCTCGGGGATGTCACATCTCAGGCGTGTTCACAATAACATTGGAATGTCAGACTTGACGCCCACAGTTGCACTGATGTGATGATCAGCATGCAATATCATTCGGACTCCCGCCTCTCACCAGCGAGTCCTGGTGTCTTTTGAGTCAATTCGAAATCTCACCAGCGATCCCAGGTGTTGGTCGATGGAGGCAATCTCCCGGTGAATGGACCCGATGGCATCAGCGGCGGTGATGAACGCGCGGTAATGCGCCACCGCCACCTCCTGCATCTGCCGCTGCACCCTCTCCGCATCGGAGCGCAGCAGCTCCGGCTCCTGGCGCCACAAGAGAGGGGAACAAGGGGGCGATGCTGCTTTCAGTACGTCTAAGAAACCCTCCTGCATCTGCCAGATTGCCATGTCTGGTAGTCGTGGACTAGCAGAGACAAGAATCAGGTGTTGCATCAGATATTGCATCAGGTGTTGCATCAGATGCTGATTCTGACATTTCTGACTGGTCTGACAGGAAATTGCATCAGGCATCCACCAGAATGCAACAGAAGGTTAAGGGAGAGCCATGAAATCAAATAAATTTAATCATCATCGCCTTTCCTGTGATATTTGACGTTCCTCGAGAGCTGGTCCTGAAGCTTTGTTTCCTTGCATCATGAACCATAGTTCGCCCCAATGTCCATCTGAATCTGTCGCACCTTGTTTAGTCGATCTAGGCTGTACGATAGCAGCTCTGACAGGTACGCATCTTGAAGCTCCTCTAACCCTACTGAACCGCCAGCTCCTGAGCCTTGGTTCATGAAGGTATCCCCTAAAAGTTGGCTCGTGGGGGTCGTGGGCGCGAAGCTCCGCGGAGATGCCGCGGGGAAGTGTCCGCGCGGGGAAGCCATGGACGCGAACGTGCGCGGAGATAACGCTGCTATGGCGAAGCCTCCTTCGGAAGCCTGCGGAGGAAAATATGCGAGTCAAGTTCGATAGACTGCTGCAGAGCACGAAAGGAACACAGAACTACCAGCCTGCTAGAATGGAAAGGTATCCTCTAGACTGGAGGGCCTGCAGTGAACATATCCGCTAAGAGGAACACCACGATCTGTAAGGAGAATGCTCTATATTCTTCCTTAGTATTTCCGTTTCTTGTATATACAGTGTTAAAGAATGTAAGAAAAACCAGTACAGTACCTGTGGGCAGAAGATTGTTTGGGCAAGTTGTTTTTACTCCAAACAATGCGATGCCGAAGAGTTTCAATCTCCAATCACAGCAGAGATTTGCGCCGGGAGATCGGGGGTGTCAGGGGAACGAGAACTTCCCTCCCAGCACAAGTTCGCGTGAGGGAATCGCCTTCTTGCTTTTGGTTGGGCCTTTTCTCCCTCCAAGCATCAAGGGTGCTGCTGGGGCACCTTAGGCCTTGGGAATTGCGTGAGGGTGTTCGCGGGAACTACGCTGATTAGTTGACAAAGCAGTCGCCTCGGTAGCTTGTGGTCCCCAAACCACGCACCAGACAGACATGCTTGGTTCACATTGGCTTGTTCTCGAACGTGGATGGGCTCGCAGAAATTATTTGTTCACATCCCCGAAGCAATGCCCCAAAAAGGGCTTTCCCTGATTGAGGCACCCAATCAGAAAACCCTGTGCTTCTCCCGAAGCTGTTCTTCCCGTGTTATGGCCACCCGCCATACCAGCTTCCAGCTACGGGAGTCTCTGTGCTTCCTTGCCTCGGCAAGAATGTGAGTGAGAAATGGCCGCTTCGGGAAGCCAGAAATTGGTCGCCATGGGCAAAACCCGTCAGAAGACACACGGGTACTGTACACTGGCACGTTTGTGCTTGTCGAGCATTTCACGGGGGATATGGAATGGACACCAGGCAAGCTTTGCCTGAAGTGACAAGGCTCACTTTTGCTGTCTCACAATTTGACGACTCCTGCTTCATCAGGCCAAGCCAAAGCTGCTTGAAACTACAGTCACGCATTAGATTGACGGAGCTTACTTTTTGTCTGTAGAGGCCGGCCCTGCAGCCGCTAGGCGGTGCTGGCGTTGATGGCAGTAGATAATATGGATGCGTCTGCTAACCCGGACGCTGCTGTTCCAGAGGAATCCAGCCATTTACAGGACAAAGAGTCTCTAGAGAAGAAAGATGCAGCAGATTCGCATGTTATTGATTCGCAGGGATCCGCTCACTCTTCCCGATCAGGGTTAGTTATTCACGTTATTAGCTTGGATTAGAAACGATGTATCTTTCCATCCGGAACTGGCTGATATGAGTGCTTTCTTACAATGCAGTGGGAAGATATTTATAGGAGGCATTTCGTGGGAAACGAAAACAGGTGCGCTTAATGTCGTGTTTTTTCTCCCCTTCTTCCCTAGTCGTTTTGTTATCGTCCTCTTGTCTCGACTTTACATAAGCGACTTTGACATGCAGAGGACTTGATTGAGCACTTCAAGCAGTATGGGACCATCGTGGATGCGGTTGTCATGAAGGATCGCGCAACGGGCCGCCCACGTGGATTTGGCTTCGTCACTTTTGAGGATCCCGCTGCGTGTGATAAAGTAGTGGAAGATCAGCACGTCATTGGTGGCCGAGCGGTAGGTGGTGGTGTTGGTCCTTAGGCTGACAAACTCTTTTTTACAATGCAGGTTCGTAGGCTGACCAGAATTCGTTTTGGCTCTCCGCGTGTAGGTGGAAGCTAAGAAGTCGGTTCCACAAAATGCTAGTGCAGGAAGGAGTCCGAGGACGAAGAAGATATTCGTTGGGGGCCTTGCTGGCAGCACCACAGAAGGTAACCTGAATGCGCCTCGCTGTCGCCGGTGTTCCCCTCAACAACTTGTTGCAATTGATGGCTGATATTTTCCCTTTTCCCTGCAGAGGAATTTAATGCGTACTTCTCGAATTTCGGGAATGTGGTGGATCGCCAAGTGATGATGGATCATAACACAGGCCGATCTCGCGGGTTTGGCTTCGTCACCTTTGACAATGAACAGTCGGTTGAAAATGTCTTGGCTCAAGGAAAAATGCATCAACTTGGCAACAAACAGGTGAGAGACATACGGATTCTATTAATCGGGCCACGTTTTCCAGCATAGCACGCTTACTAGGGGTTTTCTCCGTTTTTAACCAGCTAACTTGTGGCCTGCTGCCCGACCATTCAGGTCGAGGTGAAGAAAGCGGAGCCCAGAAGAATGGATGCTCCTGGTGGGCATGACAGCTACGGTGTAAGGGGTCGTCGTCATGGCGTAGAGTACAGCTCGGGAGGCTATGGGGCTCCGGGGAGCTACGGAGAAGCCCCTGTGACTGGTTATAGGGGCGACTATGCCTACGGCCCTGCTTATCCAGGCGCTTATGGCGTCCCATATGGCGCAATGTACATGGGAAGCGGCGGATACAGGCCTTACCCTGGCTATGGAGACGCATATGCACAAATCCCTTACAATGCAGAAGGCCAGGGAGGGTATGCAAACAGCCCTTTCAGTGGTGCAGCAGGTGCCAGCGCTTATATTCCTAATGCTGGACCGCCATATGGGGACAGCAATGAAGGATACGGGCCACCAAGCTATTCAGGAGGGTATCCGCCTGTTGGACCTGGTTTGCCTGCAGAATACAGCGGGATGGGGGGAGCATATGCAGGTGGATTTGCTGCATATCCTGTTAGTCCGTATGGGCCGCCACCAGCATCACCAGGGCAAGCGGGTTTCATTGGGGAGAGGGGTGTAATTTTTCCTGGCCCTGGCCAATTCCATCCGTATGGACAGGTATGATTGCGCTTGTCTTGCTGGCCCCTTAGTTTCCTCTACGTGTTGATGCTTATTCATTATTTTAAAAAAAAAAATGTTAACTAGTCAGAGGGGCTGCTAGCGCCGACTATGCTTGTTTAAAACTAGATTGTGAGCCTTGCTGTGTGCTCGTTAATACCGTAAGCCTAGTAGTCAATAGTAAAAGCTACATAGAGGCTTGATTGGAAGAGGCTGGATGGAGGGATCTCTAAACTGAATTAACCCTATTACAGTATCAGATATGCCTCTCATCAGACTCGCGCGGAACTGTTCAGTCCAATTATGACGTAACTTGGTTCAATGCGGTTTCAAGCGGTGCCCTGAGAATGATAGATGGCTGCAATGAACAAGCTCTTATCAATACGAGCACACTACACTTCGTAAAAAACTCAGCACAATTCATGAGAACAATTTTCAGCTACGGAGCAGCAATTCATGGTCCATTAAAATGCTGGAGCTCTAGTATACATTGAAACAGGCAGCAAAATTAGTTACCAGCCCTTGTGGACTAGGTACAATATTTGATCCCACTGCATGGTCGATCGAGCTCCCCTCACCACTACTGCGAGCCCCCATCCTTGTCGCCAGTGTGGCATGCCATAGCATGATAGCACATCACCTCACCACCACCACCCCACATCATCTCACCACCTCTCCAAACCACCCGAGGAAGAGGAGGGCAAGGCAAGGGAGTGGCAATGGAGAGGGGGTGAAACTCCCTGGGTGATGGGAGAGCAAGGAAGGCCAAGGGGGCTGAACCCTCCAGGGTAAGGCGAGTGCGGCAAGAGAGGGCGGTTGAATTCCCCAGGTTGAAGCGAGCAAAAGGCAGAAGAGGGGGGTTCCTCTGCCCATTGCTCGCTTCAACCTGGGGGTTTCAGCCCCCCTCCCCCCACCTGCCCTTACCCTGGAGACTTCAACCCCCTTCCCCTTCCATGCCCTCCCCTTACCCAGGAAATCTCACCGCCCCTCCACTGCAACCACCCGGCACCACCACCACCACCAGAAGGGCTGTGAGCTAACCTCAAAACCTGAACCCCTCACTGACGTAGCAAGAGGGGACCAAACCAGAACCGCCGGCCGCACGGTCTGTTGCTGTCCTTTATGCTTTAACGTGCAGGTATTGGGCCCAGGCTTGAGATTAACCCACAACCCCACTCACACCACCACGCCCCCCCCTTCTACCACTCCCAACACCAGCACCAGCACCACCGCCACCACCACTTCCACCACCTCCAGCACCAGCAGCAGCACCCATTGCTGCCTTTCATGAGTTCTTCAAGGGGAACCTGTAGGAGGGGATGGGAGAGAAACGAAGTTAGTCCAACCAGGAAATTATAGTGAAGCACTAGAAACGAGTACAGCTGGATGCGGAAGCACTTCGCCTGGAGTCTGAACCTGATACCTGGGGGGGCCCTGGGTGTGCTACAGGCAGTAGATGCATGAAAAAGGCGAGAAAACGACAGTGAGGGAGTCATGGAGGTGTGCCAATACTTATCTGCAAGCGACGGTCCATGTAGGGGTGGTGCCTTGGTTGGGAGTTAGGTGCTGCTGCCTCAGAACAGAACTTGGTGCCCTTTCCGCACCAGAGGCCGCCAGTGGAAGGGCAGCAGCAGAAAGAGACCGGCAGGTCTTCAGAGAAGGCAGCCAAGACTTGAGAACAAACAACTGAGACGATGAGGAGGGGGAGGGGAACCGGGGGAGTGGGGAGGTTAGGGTCGTTAGAGGGGCAAGAGGAGAACGACGACAGCAGCAAGGGTGATGTGAGCAGCGGGAATGAGAGCAATGGGGATACCAGCTGTAGCACACCCAAGGGGATACCATTCACTTGGAGAAATTTTGCACCTGCAGTGGGAGGAATACCTCATATTTCAGTCTGAACCTGATACCTACCTGGGGACCCTCGGATGTGCGACAGGCAGTTGGGGGCCATGGGAGATGAATGAATAAAGCGAGGAAAAGTTGCTGAAGCAGTGAGGGAGTCATGGAGGTGTGCTGATACTTGTCTGCGAGTGCCGGAGTTGGGTGCTGCTGCCTCAAAACTCAGAACTTGGAGCCAACACTGGAAGGCCGCCAGTGGAAGGGCCCAGCAGCAGCAGGCAGCGAGGTCTTCTGTGTCTTTAGTAGATGAAGGTGATTCCAGCAAGGATCTGAGCGGGGACGGGGGCAGTTGGGTGGGGGTGGGGGGGGGGGGGGGGGTGGTAAGCTAGGGCCATCATAGGGGCAACAGGAGGCTGATGCGAGCAGCAAGTGTGTCATGCGTGCATGGATGGAATGAAAGCAAGTCCTCCCAGGGGGGTACCTTATCCGTACCAGGGGATAACCTGGAGCGCCACAGCGTTGACTGGAGCAGTACACCGTTGACTGGAGCACCACAGCGTTGACTGGAACACCACAGCGTTGAATAGAACACCCACGTTGACTGGAACACCACAGCGTTGACTAGAACACCCACGTTGACTTGAACACCCACGTTGACTGGAACACCACAGCTTTGCCTTAAAATAGCAGCGAACTGCCAGGGGGAAGGGGGAAGGGAGGGGGAGGATAAGAAACACAATCAGTCCAAGTGACAACAAAGGAGGATAACGTCAGAAGCTGAAGCTGAAGCAAACAAAGGACGAACGGATGAATGCAAAAATGCAAAGGACAAACGGATGAATGCAAATGAGCCATGATGAAAGCATCGCTGTTGTAGCACACCCTAGAGGGAGGGGGGGAGGGGGGGGGAGGGGGTGGGGGGGTTACCTTAGGCTTACCATACCAAGGCCGAACCTGTACCAAGGATTGAAGTTTTGCACCGGGGGGGGGGGAGGGGTTGGGGGTGGGGTACTTACCTGCAGTGGGGGATATTCACCCGGTAGTCTGAACCTGAGAGGTGGGGGGGCTAGGGTGTGCTACACGCAGCTAGAGTGGTGTGAGATGCAAGAAAGAATTGAGTGTAAAGAGATACTCAGCCTTGACTGGAGTAGCAGGGGCGCTGACTGCAGCAGCAACCGCGTTCACCGGAGCGCCCGTGTTGTCATGAATGAAACACCCGCGTTGACTGCAACATCCGCGTTGACTGCAACATCCGCGTTGACTGCAACATCCGCGTTGACTGCAACATCCGCGTTGACTGCAACATCCGCGTTGACTGCAACACGCGCGTTGACTGGAGCACCCGCGTTGACTGGAGCAGCAGTGTCGAATGGAGGCGCAGGGATATTGAGTGGAGGCCATTGCGACCTGAGAGGGGAAAAGGGGAACTCAAATTAGTCAAAGGGACAGAAGAATTCAAACTGCGCCATGAAGAAAGAATTGACATGTGCTAATAAGTGAACTTTTACCATAGAGGGCCACTCAGCGCTGGTTGAAGCAGCGAGGACGTTGACTGGAGCAGCAAGGGCGGTCTTCAGCGTCTTCATTTGAATCTGCAAGAAGCGAACATGCAAGAGGAAAAAGGACCCGAAAGAAACGGTTAGTTGCATTGCATGCAAGAATTGAAAAAACGACATACGAAATTGAATATCAGACACTCGAGGCGGGCTATTCACCCCCCCACCTCCCTCGTTTCAACACTTAACCTTTCCGAGGAAGCAAGGTCTTGGCTTGTGAGGAAGCAAGTAGGAGGTGTTGAATTGATGCAGATACTCGTTGACTTGTTGGCTCGTCTTGAAACGTCAGCAGGATCCAAAAGCTCTCACGCAGAAATGGAGAGGTAAACATGCAAAAGCTCGCACGTGGACAAGAGGATGTTAGTACGTGCATAAGCCTTAAAAAGACACGAAAAACGAAAGAAACGACTCTCTAGGCGTGCCTACTCGCCCCCCCGCCTCCCTGGCTTCAACGCTTACCTTCAAGGATTGGTCTTGGAGAAGTAAAGCGGACTTGAGGTGTTGACTCGAAGCAAAAAAGAGTGGCGCGAAAATTGAGAGGGTAAATATGCAAGACAAAAACGAGAAAAAACAAGGTTAGCCTGTGTATAAGTTTGAAAAATGACACGAAATCGGAAAAACACGACTCGCAAGGCGGCTTACTCGCCCCCCCACATCCCTGGTTTCAAAACTTACCCCAAGGTAGTGTCTTCATTGGGAACTTCATTGGCGAAGGCAGTGGAGTTTTTTCGACGACTTGAGCCTCACGATGAGCGAAAGTCGAGAGATGAACATGCAAGACAAGAACGATAAGAAACAATGTCAGTACGTGTGTAGCGGAAAAAAAAGACACGCAAAAAAAAAAAAAAAAAAAAAAACGCGACTCTCTATGCGGCCTACTCGCCCCCCCACATCCCTGATTTCGAAGCCTACTTCAGCATCTTGATCCGAAGCAACTTGATTCGAAGCAGAAAGATGTTGATGCGGAAAAAGCGAGAGCCTTGGAAAGGAAAGGAGACTTGATCCGCAGCAGCGATTCCGCGAACTCCTGCAATTAGGACGTTGAGTGGAATGAGTGGTCGGATACTTACAGCATGGAATGTAAACGGCGGCGAAAACGGCAACTTACAGATGAAGCTCCTGATATGAGAAAATAAGCCGGAGTGAAGTAGCAAGAAGCAGCATAAACGCGAACCGAACGCGTTAGAAGATTACGAGATTCTTCGTAAGCATCGTAAGCATGCTCCAAGCACACAGAGCTCCAAGCATGCAGAGCTCGAGGGCCAGCAGAGAAGCTCGTGGTTGGAAAGCTGAACGAGGCGACGACTGGAAACAGGAAATTCCGAAAAGTGGAAACAGAATGAGTTGAGGAAGAGGTGAGCAAATTGGTAATGCTTGGGAAGCGCGTGGCGTGTCAACGGAGGGATGGGCTGAAGGCAGAACGGGAGGCGTGGGGTAAGAATCGAGCCGCGACGGCGACGGACCGCGGACTGTGAAAAATCGGCGTGGAAACGAACGGACGGGGAAAGCAGGGTGATGGCCGGTTGAGCGCCGCCGTCCGCGGCAGCAACCAACCCTAGGTGGTGGATGGGGTTGATATTTGATTGGCAGCGAGAGGGAGTTCCAGCAGCGGCTGTCAGACTGTCGGGCTTCCCCCCCAAGGTTTCGTTCGCCTCCCACCAAACCAAACCCCAACAGCCGCTGCTGGGGGAAGAATACTGGCTGGAGTGCCAACCAAAGCAACTTTGGGGAGGGCCAGCTTTTGCACAAGGTGCTCCCTGGAAAACATTAATTTCCGATATCAGAATCATATTTACCCCAGGTTTGTCATACCAGCGAAACAACATCGCCAAAACAGACAATGGCGCCTGGTTGTCACGTAAGTTATGCAAATGTTTCGCCCCTTCACCTGGTAATTGTTTGGCGGTTCAAAACATTAAACGTTGGAAGGCAGTATTCGTGGTCGGAGAAACCTTTCTTGTCACGACGACGTCGATCAAACCGCGCGGTGACCAGCAAAGAGTGCGTGTCACCGCAGAATTTCGGCGACGCGTAACTGCAAAACTGGGAAACTGGCCAATAAACAATCCGGTGAGGACGGAACACCTCCCGCCGAACTGGCCCGAAGGACTTCCAAATTTCGCGAAAGCCCAATCAACGCCTGGCTCGAGGTCTGTATTGAGCCTGAAATACTCCCGCGTGCTGGATTTTTCCGCCTACATGATATGGCCCGTTAACATAGGATTCGTTTCTCTACTACACTAGAAGGTCAATTCCACAATTATTGTATTTCACTCATGCTCGCCACACAAATATACCTAACACAGCCTACGCTCCATATATACTTTTATGTGTAATTTAAAAATATATTTGCTACATTTCAAGGTTTTAAGCAATACGTACAGCCGTTTTAGTTGACAAAAAAACATACCACATTCTCTACATTCATGCTAGAAAGAAGCGGTGTCCAACATAAAAAAAATGCATTAATATCACATTCATGGAAACGAGAAGATGTTTTTTTCACCCAGCATGTGGTTGTATTGTATCCTATGAGATGGTCTCTAGTGATGGCAATCTTCCATTTTGAAACACGTTGCTTTCTTAGTTGTCATCCGTAAGTAACGAAGTAACTGTTTCTGGATTCAGTGTTTCGCTGTTCTGAGAAACATTTTTGTGGACGACGGTACACGTGGCCCGTATCAACGAAGCATACGACTTTTTGCTGATTGGCCATTAGGCATTTGCCCAATCCATTCAGTAAGGCCTGTCCAATCGGCTGGCAACTGAAATCCCAGTGCGACGTCCAGAAGGGCTTCGGGTGGCTTCGCTGTTGCCGCTGGCCGACGGCCTGCCCATCTGGTAATGTAATCCCACAACCCAACTTTCTCAGTTTGCCAGACTTCGCTCCAGCAAGCTCATCCCACTCACCTAACATCCCTTCAGCAAACCAGAGCAGACGCCATGGCCGCCGTGTCCACCTCCGCTCTTGTTGCCCCCAGCTCCATCAAGAGCTTCGATGGCCTCCGCGCCAGCGCCACCCCCAGCCGGGTGGTGAAGTTCGCTCCCCTGAAGGGCAAGGGTGCCCTTGGTGCCCGCTGTGACTACATTGGCTCCCCCACCAACCTGGTCCGTGTCCCCTTTACATCCTAAGGACTTCGCCCCCCCTCAGATTTTACTGCCATTCCATTCCCCGTATCGTCGTCTTTAGCCGTGTATGGCCTTTGTGTTCAGACTCGACCTGACCTTGTATTGTTGTGCCTCTCCCTGTCTTTGTTCTTCAGATCATGGTGAGCTCCATCGCTCTTTGCTTCGTCGCTGGCCGCTTCGGCCTTGCCCCCTCAGCGAACAGGAAGTCCAGCGCCTTCCTGAAGCTGAGCGAGAGGGAGACTGGCCTTGGCACCAACGACCCTGCTGGCTTCACCGGCACTGATGTGCTTGCTTTCGGAGCTGTCGGCCACGGCATTGGCATCGGCGTCGCCCTTGGCCTTAAGTACCTCGGCGTGATCTAAGCAATTCCAATGCTGTACATTTTCAAGAATAGATAAATGAAAGGCTTTTACAATTCTTAATTTAAACATTTTCCTGCTGCCCAAACGAGCTCATTCCTACAGACGTAGGTAATGAACAAATCCATGCGAGATGTTGGTCATAGTTAAGGATCACTGATATAAAGTGATTTACCCTGTTGGAAAAGCTCCATACGTAGTAAGCCTTCGGTGCTGCAAACACAGTTCAAGAACGTTAGCAGCCAGCAATCAGTTGGGTAACATCCAGATTGAGGCACACGCGACTTTACCTGTCCAACGGGCATCCTTTGCCTTGTAGAAGCAATAAGGTCCATGTCAATGTCGACTGTAGCAATTCCTGTTGCAAGGGGATCTGTAGCAGGCACAGGAGTGAGCAAAACAAACATCAAAGAAATCTGCCAAAAGCTAGGGTAGCAAAACGTACCAGAGCAACGAGCTGCCACCTTGCCCCATGGGTCCACCACAAGTGCATGACCATAACTGTCTCTTCGTTCATTATGCCGACCTGCTTGAGCTGCTGCAATGACCTGTCATGTGGAAGACCAGCTTGTCAGCTGAGTGCTATAACCAGTGATGGAACATTTAAGGCAGTGGAACACTCACATAACACTGGCATTCTATAGCACGTGCCCGCAACAAAATTTCCCAGTGAGCCTCCCCAGTCTTTTGCGTAAACGCAGCGGGGATCAGTAGTACCTGCCCAATCAGATGCACTGCAGATGATCAAACCAGTGCATCTACCATCACTCAAGCATGAACAAATTGCTCTTTACCTCTGCACTCACATCACAATCATGATCAAAGCGAAGACGTTGATAAAGCTCTGGGAAGCGTAGATCATAGCAAACGGTTAGACCCAGTTTGCCAACAGGAGACACTGCGGATACAACAGCTGATCCCGGCAATGTGCTGTTGCTCTCTTTCAGGACAGGCCCTCCAGGCACATCCACATCAAATCTGGTTCAGCAAGGAAAGAAGAAGTTAGGGCGATGTGCAAAGCACGGCTTCACAGGTGCAGCGAATGGGGATTGTTGGAAAGATTCAAGGTATCATTACAGGTGAATTTTTCTGTAAGCTGCTTGAATCTTCCCCGCATCATCCACCAGCACATGAGTATTGAAGAAACGCCTGCCTGCCTCGGGACCTCCTGCCTCCTGGAAGCCTCCCAAAGACAGCCATATGGAAAACTCTCTGCAAGCCAGAGCAAAGTAGCCAGATAAATGGCGCACGGGTAAGAGCAAGCATGGTGCCGTTACTATCTTCTGCTATTGCTTGCTTCTATTGCCATTGCCTAACGTAATATAACACACACCTTGCGAGTTGGCAGTACTTCTTCATGATAGGGCCATCCAATGGCTCAGCAACTGCCGCGGCTTCTCCGTCCCGTGCACCAATGATGGAGAAACACTCAGGCAGGCACAGGAGTGCTGCGCCAGCTGCAGCTGCTTGCTGATGTGGGGAAAGCGTTACAGCAGCCATAGAAGGAGGGCAGATAAAAAATATGCACGATGTATGGATGTTCATGATGAGCATATGGCGATCCCTCACATCGAGGTCCCAGTGCTCACCTCGACTAGCAATTTGCATGTAGCGTAGTTTTTCTCAACATCACCCACAGCTGTCATCTGCGCCACAGCCACTCTCCTGCTGCCAGCACGACCTCTGCTACCCCTGTCCCCTCGTTCTGCACACAGCTTCTGCTGAGCACCGGCCACTTGCTGCGGATTGTCACGACCTGCTCCAGCCCCTGGAAGCCTCGCTCGCTCCGCATCGCATTCATGAGCCACGCCTTCTGGAGCGCCCAGGGACGACTCGTCGACATTGGGAACAGCGGAGCCACCCGACGCCATGCGGGTGAGTTGATATGATGGGACAAATGCACGCGATCTTGGTACGACTCCAACGCCCAGCGTTGCGCGACGTAATGCAGCCTTCAGAGCGAGCGACCTAGCGAGAGTTGGTTTGATTTGGATCGCCTGCGTATTTGCATAGAAAAACATTAGGAAACGTCATGTGGTTGAGCAAGGCATGTAAGTAAGAGGCTTGCCGCCTCCCGACAGGCGGATACGCACCAGAGGCCACAGAGACATCACACCACCGAGAAAGGCGTACGATTTTGCAAGTGCGTGCTCCTGCGACTTCTATGGCCATGAAAGTCTAGCTGGAACTTCAGCTGAAGCTAGCGAAACTGGTTGGTTAAAAATTCTGTGCTGGTTTCAACACTGCAGTGTCATAAGATTTTTGGAAAGGAATGTTTCTAGGAGTCTTGGAGATGGAATGGAATCGGAAATTTGGTGGCTATTCCTAAAGCGATTGTGACATATCGAGGCAGATCCTCAACCTGCTGGCCAGTCCAAGGGGCAGCTGTGCCATGCCTTGACGTCACCTCACATAAGAAAAGCTAGTCACTGACGTGGCGTAGCTCGCTCACACGCATCAGACCTGACTTGTGTCCAGACCGGCATGCCGAAGCGGGGAGCTCGGCTCGGCTTTGTGAGCGTGAACCCGAATTTCCGTGGCTGCATCAGCTTCGCCTAAAACGTGCCACATCCATACCTAGGAGCCTGTTTGATTGGTTGTTTTCCACAGGTTGAGGATTCTAGCTTATCGGATTGGCTAAGTTTTTGCCGAAGCAGGACGCTCGGCCCCAAATTCGATTCGACGTTTGGTTCCAGCGAGACTGCGACAAAGGCTGGCTCACCCCAAACAGTGTCCCCTTTCCTGGGCATGGCTGCTTACTTTTGCCTAGGCGGGCAGCCATGATGAATCCGAAGTGCACCGAGCCCAGTCCCGTGCTTCCGAAGCTGATGGACCAAAACCTAGCCCAAACCAGGTTTTGGTCAGAGCCAGCAGCTCAAGCCACCGAAGTGTTTTGCTTTCGAGCTGAAGAGGGGAGGAGCTGGGGGGGAATCCTCCTAGACAATGGTCTGCTGCACAGACAACAAAGGCGGTTGCTGTCATTCTCCATCGTGAGGATGACACATGGCTTTCAGCCATGAAGCCCTCGTTTCCTCTTCCAAGCAGCCCTGAAGGCCTTCTTGCTCTGGTCAATGGTCAGTCTGATCTATTATGGACCAGGCACACCCTCCAACCAGAGTGTTCAGAACTGGCTAGGTTCCATGTTCCAAGAGTAGAGTGGAATTTATGAGATGATTCAGACAGACCATTATTGGAAGGTTGTCCAGCTTCAGTGCCAATGCTAGTTGAGAACTTGGTGATGCGTTCAAGTCATTTCGTATTCCAGGCTCCGCTACCGTTGAACCCATTTCGCCTGTTTTTTATTGTAGATATTCGATAAGATTGTCCGAAATGGTTAGACATGCTGCTCCTAGAGGCCTGGGAAGGCATTGTCATTGTTGTCGGCAAAAGAGACCAGCTGCTGAGCTGATTCCATGCGGAGCATCTCAAGGTGAAGGTGGAGCCAAACATGGCCCATGGTGCCATAGGTGCATCCTGACAAAGCTCCACAAGAACTTGTCGTTCATAGCAGCGGCGACTATGGCTGCTAAAAGGGGGACCTGGCGATGTCCACGGTAAATCAGCAACATTCAGACGAGCTCATCATCCATCAGAATCCGTTTGGCCTCCAGGGAATGGACCTTGTTTGTGAAACGATATTTTTGCTTCATGCTGTTTGGCATATTTCTCCTGAACTCTTCGTGGCAGATGCGACGATGTCTGTCCTTGCAACAAATGTGTACAGAGAAGAAGCAAGGACGGAAGGCAGAGACGAGGACAAAACCAGCTCAGGTATTTACCATCGGGTTTCCCGTTTCCATGCTGTGCCTTTCTTGTCCCGGTCAAGTGGTGTAACTGGGTATTTTCTGGCCCTATTTTGCAGGAATGAAGTCAACGAATTCGAGCCTGGGAAGGGGATTGAGGAGCTGCATATTAGTAACTTTTCGAATGTTGACGGGGACTGTACTCCTGGAGCATCCAACGCAGGAGTTACATCGAGTGGGTCATAGTGGCCGTCTGAGCGTCATTCCTTACCGTCAATTTCGCTGACTCCGATTTTATCGTATTTCTGCTGGCAGGTGCTCCTCAAGATGATGAAGCATATGAAGGCGCTCTCGGCTTGTGTGCTATTTTGAAAAAGGTTGTGCGTCGTGTGCAGCTTTGATACTCGCATATGAGCTACTTTCCGGTGCAATCGTCAAAGCTAACCTTTGGCGATGTCTTGTGTTCAGGATGACGAAAACTCGCTTTCCAATTCGCCATCGGAATCAAGTGACAACAGCAAGGTCCCACTACAGCACCAAGGTCCCACTACTTCCGAACAACCGAGACTCGCACCAGAGCAACCGGTGGCTTATTGTTTTGAAGAGAAAGATGAGCCATCATCACCTGCTGAGGTGCCATGGACCCCTAGGAAAAGCAGGTCTTCTTTCAAGCGCGATTCCGCAGCAGCTAGATTTAAAGACGCTCCTCAGAAACAGCATGCACAAGCTTCTCCTGGAAGAGGCGACTTGAAGGTATCATTTGTTCAGGGCTTTCTCTGTCAGTGCCAATTTCTCCTCAGGGTCTCAGTTTGGTTGTGCTTTTCTTGCAGGAAGTGGCCACAGCGGAACATCAAGTCGAAGAAAATTATGAGCTGTCGTTTAGGCACAAGCTGCCTCGATACTCTGTTGATGAAGAGCAACAACAGACTCTCTCGCAAGAGGGCGAGCTACCATTGCCTCTGATTCGTGGTTCCAGGAGCTTCACCTACCGTACACAGGATGGGAATATGGGTGGCCGTTCAAACATTGGGCACGATGATGTGCAGCCAAAGTTTGGACTGAGGTTTTCTGGGTCCTTCGACGCATTTCAGTATGCCACGGCCAAAGGTGTGAGCGAATCATCTGCTAGGGAGCGCTTCTTCTCTGTTGGAAGACTGCCGGATTCGTTGTCTCCTCGCTCAGCATCCGTTCCGCACACTCCGGTAAGGAGGAAGCTTTCCCGCAAAGGCATTCCATCAAGGGGCGATTCAGGCATTGAGTTCAGCCCGCTGATTGGGCCATCATCTCCGTGCAAGCCAGTCAGTCCATGCGTTCTTCCACAGACAGCAGCTGGACCTCCTGCAAATCGCCAACTCAGAATGCGCATCTCAGCTCCTGGTTTGGATTCTGATGAACGTTGCACAAGCGAAGTCTCCATTGAGAAGCTGGAGACACTTCGCCCTGGCTTCAGCAAGGAGGATGGTGCAACTTCGTCCTTCCAAAAACATGTACAAAGAAGATTTCCTGAAGACATGAAGGCATCATCAAGTCCTGGGACACCAAGCACTTTGAAAGCAGGGTCCGACAATCTCTCTGGCGGTCCTTCAACCAGCAGATCGGGTGCTTTGGGTAATCAGGAGAGGATACGGTCAGACAAGAAAGTTGCAGCTGCTGTCGCGGCAGCATTGAAGCTGTGTGTGCCTGAGATTGCTGGGTCAGGAGTCTCGTCCAGCTATAAGGCATCTAGCTCGTCTAGTGATTGTTCTGAAGGAGTGGGCTGCCAGGAGGATTCTGGTACAGAGGAGTCCCCACCTGGTGCAGGGAAGCAGAAAGGCAGTGCGACCTCCGATCCCACACTTCGTCGTCACATGAAGTGTACATATGGAACAGCTGTAAGGAAACAGCAACACCCCGGTATTTCTCCGTACGACCTTGTTCAAGAGGGATTTTCTAATGACCCCTGGAAGCTTCTGGTCGCGTCTATGCTCCTGGAGGAGCATCCTTCCCATATGGTATGTTCTGCATTCGCTTGCTTCCGTTTGGTCAATGCCATAGCCACTCACGGGTGTACTGGTACCTTTTTCTGGCAGGTGCGACATGGAATTGTGAGGTTGTTTCAAAATCTCCCCTCAGCAGATGACGTCATATCATCTGACATGCAAAAGCTGGGAGAAATCGTTTCTAGTGCAGGATTCCACAAAAAATGGGCCAAGGACTTGCTTCGCTTCTCGCGAGAATTCTCTTGTGGAAACTGGGTTCAAGTATCTGACCTCCCGGGAGTTGGCAGGTATGTAACATGCTGTTTGGCTTCTTGGAGTTTGATCTTGAGTCGAGCTGTCTGACACTGCTCCTCCCTCCCTCCCACCAGGTATGCCACAGACTCGTATGCAATCTTCTGTGAAGGTCGGCTTCAGTCAGTTCATCCAACAGACAGCCTTCTGCAAAGGTATAAGGGGTGGGCACTGTCACGTACATAATGTATTATAAATCTCGAATTCTTGTATAAATTTCAGCAGAGCAGCATGTTCATAGCGTTGTGCCCGCTTGCTAGTTTGTGTTCATATTGTAGAGCTTGTAACTAGTACATTATTCTGTCGATACCATTGCTACGTCAGAGCTTTCATCACAGCAATTGAGGTGGAATGGAACGACATCAAAGAGTACGACCGTCAGCATCTATTCAGGGGTATCCCAGCTATGGCAGACAAGCACTTGCAGAAAGCGACACATACGGAGAAGAGCATCTCGCAGAAGCACGAGATAAACTTGAGAAGATTGTTCCATTATAACCAGAAATAAAGACAGGGAAATCGTACTCAATTTACAGCAATCTAGTCCGAATAGATGCGGCACTCGTCAGCGTCAGGGTTTTCGTCGCAGTACGCCTCAAGGGGGTCGGCCGACTTGGCGGCCTCCTTGTGCGAAATAGCGGCGGAGATTTCCTCAACCTCGTCCCAGGCCACAGCACACTCCGCAGCTCCAGAGTTGGGGTCTGCGCAGACGTTCTTGGCCTCCGCAATCTTCTGCTCAACGACCTTGTCCAGCTCCGGTTGCGAGCTAGCGAACACCTTCAACGACCGGGCGGGAGCAGCGCGCACGGTCACAGCGCTCTTTACGGACTGAGAGAAGGCGGCTGACCGCCTCAGGCCGCAAGGGGCCGTGGGAGCAACAACGAAGGCGAGGGAGGCCATGGTGAGAGACTAGACAAGACGAAGTGAGGAAACGGATGGTAGCTTCTGTGCTGCGTGTAAATCCGAAGCAGTCAGAAGCTGATGAAAGGCAGAAGCAGCCTCAATCGTGATGGGAGCTGGGAGTATCAGTGAACGAGTGGTGGAAGGGTTGGAGGTGGATGGGGAGAATGGGAAGGGAGTGAACGCGCATCTGAGGACGTGGAGAGGTTCACGGAAGATGGGACCAATGACGTGGAGTATAGGTGCCACATGGACTAGTCTGGCAGGAAAGCTTACTTGGCGAGCCCACCACCTGACATGCAATATCAGCCTGCTGCACTTCGGACCATCCAACCGGAGTTACCCCGAGCCTTGATCCCTGCCATCCGCCTCCCAGATCGTCAGGGCGCGTATAAAGTGAAACCGAGAGTGACGTCCCGGGACGTCAGCGACGGCTTATTGTGGTTACCATATGTAACAGCTTCTGCAGACGTTCTGTCAATGTTCAGCAGAAAATAGGACGCATCCGAGCTGACGTCCCAGTACATTTTGCGCTGCCCAAAGCTATGCGCGTGGGCAGGAGACGATAAAACAAAGCCAAACATGCAGTGAAAGCAGGAACCAGCTCGCGAGCCAGCAATTTTCGCGAGTGGAGTGCCAGGACATCAAATGCGTTGTGGAATCCCTCACGTTTTTCACACGTTACAGAAGTTTTTTGTTGCAATCATTTTTTGTCACGTGACGCTTGGTTTCGGAACCCTTAAAAAAAGTTTCTGGCGGGTTTCGCATTTCGTCATTGTTCAATGTGCTTGTGTAGCCCTCGGAATAAGCGAATTTGACGTCGCGCGGACGTCGCCGAGTGACGTCAAAATAGCTTATCGGGGCATCGCCCGTTTGCATTATCCACGCCCTTAGGGGGACATTTGCATCCTGACCCTGTACACTGAAGCACTCTGCGAGAAACAGTGTAGCCTGCAACTACGAATATGATATGTAAAAAAACATTGTTCTTAATTATATTCGTGTACGATGAGTTCTAGTACGAAGTTTGCGTGAAACATTTATGCCGAAACAAAATTGATCTTTTAGAAATAGGAAAATTGACCGCTGAAATGGCTCGTTTGCAATGGGTCTGATTTCCTCGTCACGGTGACGCTCTCCCACAAATTATCTCCAGCAGATTCTGCTTCCTTCCCTCTTGGTTTCGTTGCTTTCCGCCCTTTCCGCTGTCCAAGTTTGATTCTTCGTCATGAGCTAGGCATCGCGTTACACGCCTACTCCAACCCGAGCTTAGATCCGACGCATGTTTCAGGGTGTGCATGCGTTTTTCGTGGAGGGGGGAGTGCACAGGGCCCGGATCCAGGTGAGGCATCTGTGTGAGATAGTTCCGTGCAGTCTGCGCCGGATACGTCGTATCTGAGCGCAGGTGCAAGTAGGGCCGAGAAGATAGGATTTAGGCTTCTCGGCCGTACTTTGAGGAAAGGCGCGGGTTGAGGTGATACTTTGAGGCAGGCTTCGTCCATCATGACTCTTTCACCATACCCCTCCTGGCATCATGACTCTTTCACCATACCCCTCCTAGCATCATGAATCTTTCACCATACCCCCTTCTAGCGCAATGAATCCTTCACCGTACCTCTGCTGGCATCTTAGATTCATGTCTCAGCCCCTCTAGCATCGTGAATCCTTCACCACACCCCTTCTAGATCATGCTCCTCCCCACTTCCACTCCTGAGGATTCACTGACTTGGTACATTCATCCTCGTTTTGAGGCGCCTCAAAACTACACTTCCACTCCTGAGGATTCACTGACTTGGTACATTCATCCTCGTTTTGAGGTGCCTCAAAACTACACTTCCACTCCTGAGGATTCACTGACTTGGTACATTCATCCTCGTTTTGAGGCGCCTCAAAACTACACTTCCACTCCTGAGGATTCACTGACTTGGTACATTCATCCTCGTTTTGAGGCGCCTCAAAACTACACTTCCACTCCTGAGGATTGACTGACTTGGTACATTCATCCTCGTTTTGAGGCGCCTCAAAACTACACTTCCACTCCTGAGGATTGACTGACTTGGTACATTCATCCTCGTTTTGAGGCGCCTCAAAACTACACTTCCACTCCTGAGGATTCACTGACTTGGAACATTCATCCTCTCGCCATTCCCCGTTCCGTCTCTCCCTTCTGCACATCTGACTCCAACCTCTGCTCTCTCACATCTCCCTGTCTCATCCGTCCGTCAGGTGTGGAAGCGGAAAGTCGCGCAGCTAGGGGGGGAGGTAGCAGCAAGCCCCACAGCGGCACGTGTCACCCACGTGCTGGCTGCGGATTGGCGGCGAGTGCAGCAAGTCACGACGTGGCAAGCCCCTCTTCCTGGGGTAAGTGATTGCGTCGCTGTTTTCTCCCAATCTGATCTCTTTTTTCCCAATCTTCCAATCTTTCAAAATATTGAAAGGTATTTCGGTATTTTGTCAGAGCTTTGTTCCATTCTCGCCCCCCATGTCCTTCTCCCCTGTAATCTGTCCCCAGGTTACAGCTGTTGAGTTCGCTTGGATTGAAAACTCCCTCAAGCATGGGTCACGGCTGCCCGAAACAAAGTTTCTTCTCTGCCCGAGCAGTGCACGGTTACAAAAGGGTGAAACGACACGCACCTCTCAAATTAGTGCGTCAGCTACTGGTTCTGGTGATGCTGGAGATCTCACAAGATCCCCGGAGAGAATCAGAAATGGACACGTGGTCACTGCTGTTGACAGCACAGGCATAGAGGATAGAAAAGGAAAGAGAGGTGGACAGGAAAATGGAAGGAAGGAGGAGGGTAAGGATGAAGAGAACTCTGAGTTCACTTGGAAGTCGCTTGGGGGAAAGGTGGGAGGGGAGGAGGTGGAGAGTGATGAGGAGGGGGGAGGCGAGGCAACGGCTGGTTCTGCTGCACAGGCTGGGCGGCAGGATTTGGAGCTATCTGAGGAGGAGAAAGCGTTTTGGATGGAGGTGATATTCGAGAGTGCAGCATGGGGGGCAGTAGAGGGGGAGGAGGAGGGGGGGGGCGTGGGAAGGAGCGCAGGGGAGGGTATGGGGGTAAGCGGGGATGGGGAGGAGGGAGGGGAGGAGGAGGGGGAGGGGGGAAGCGGCGGTATGTGAGCGGGACGGACCGATTTGGGGCGGAATGGAAGCGATGGAAGGCGGGGGGGAAGGAGGTTGAGGATATCGATGGGGTGGGTGGCGTGGGGTTATCTGGGCGGGTGGTACGGCTGGTGAGGGAGGGGGAGGAGGTGCTGGGCCACACTCGGGGGCTGTGTGTGACACGGGAAGGCGAGAGGGGGGTTGACGCACAGGGAGGGAGTGCGGTTGAGAGGGACGGGGAGTCCAGTGAAAGGGACCAGGGTGAGAGGGCAGGCAGGGAGGAAAGGGAGAAGGGGAGCAGCAGGGATGAGGAGGGGGAGGGGAGAGGCAATAGGGCGGATTCGCAGTGGTCAGTTGGGTCTCAGCTCCCAAGTGCGGACTCACAACAGGCAGACTCACAGGCTGGTGCATGCGGTTATGTAGACGCCTACTCTCAGCCCCAGCAAGAGGGGTCGCAGCAGCAGTGGCAGTCACAGTCACAGAGCCAGCAGAGGGATCTGAAGCAGCATCACGAGCTTCCCAGCCTACAGGCTCTCTCGCAAGAGCCAGCAGCGTCAACTGTGTCAGCAGCACCACCATCAGCAGCTGACCCCGCACCAGCAGCATCAGTAGAACCTGCACCAGTGGCACCGCCCCCCGCAGCACCGCCTTCAGTAGGGTCAGCAGTGCGCTCAGCAGGAGGGGCGGCTGGGTGGGAGCGGTTGAGAGGGCGCGGGTGCTTCTGCCGGGGGCTGTACCTACCTCCCAACCTCAATGCGCGCATCTGCCAGCAGCTGACCGAGCTGAAGAACATCTACAAGGATGGTAGGGCGGGGTGGGGCGTGGTGTGGTGTGCTGGGGTGGGTTGGGGTGGAGTGGGGTGTGAGGGGTATGGCTGTGCCTCTGCCGGGGGCTGTACCGGCCGCCTGGCTTGAATGCTTCCATCTGCCAGCAGCTGACCGAGCTGAAGAACATCTACAAGGATGGTAGGGCGGGGTGTAGTGTGCTATGTATGCTATGATGTGTTTGTTGAATGTGCATCCACCAGCATTCGCCCTACCATGTTAATTCATCCCCCCAACCCGCCCCCACTTTCCTGCTAACCCCTCCTTTCCTCGGCCGTCTGGGCGACGAGTGGCGGTGCTTCAGCTGCTGCAAGGCGCTCAGCGCGCTCGAGAAGCTGCTCTTCCATCCCGTTTCCTTCTCCCCTCTTCCCCCCCCCCCTCCCCTCCTCTCCCCTTTCCCCTTCACCCCTTCCAAGGTCTGGGCGACGAGTGGCGGTGGTTCAGCTACTACAAGGCGCTCAGCGTGCTCGAGAAGCTGCCCTTCCGCATCCGCTCGGCCCAGCAGGTCCACGGGCTGCCCAGCATCGGGAGCTCGCTGCAGGGCAAGGTGCGTGCTGGGGTAGACAGGTGTGGGTGGGCATGGGCATGCTAGGTTTCTAAGGCATTCTAGCATTGGGCCCTTCCGCATCCACCCAGCCCAGCAGGTCCACGGGCTGCAAGCATGGGTGCCTCACTGCAGGGGAAGGTGTAGAGGGGGGAAGGTGGATTGGCAGGTGAGGGGAGAGGGGAGGCGAGGAGAGGGAGAGCAAGGGTAGGGCCCAGGGCGGCCGGCCTTTGAGATTGGGATGGGGTCCACGGGCTGCCCAGCATTGGGGCGTCGCTGCAGGGCAAGGTGTGGTGCGGTGGGGGTGTATTGAGACGGGTGGGGTCAGACAGCAGGGGGTTTTCTGAGGCATTTCTACCATTCCGCATCCGCTCGGCCCAGCAGGCCCACAGGAGCATTGGGAGCTCGCTGCAGGGGAAGGTGCGGCGAGGGTAGGTAGAGGGGTGATGGTAGATTGGCAGGTAGGGGAGTGGGGACGCGGGGGGAGGGAGAGCAAGGGTAGGGCCCAGGGCTGCCGGGCTTTAAGATTGGGATGGGGTCGAAAGTTGCTTCCTCACTTGAAGAGCTGAGCGCTGGGGATTGAGATGGCTGGGTCGCGCGACCTGCCTGTTTGGTTGTGGTGGTGGTTGACCAATCCCGACCTCTCAGTCGCTACAGAGGTGCTATGTTGCATTGTCACTGCATGCGTGCATGTATGGTGATGGGTATGTCCGTGCATGCATGGTGATGGGTATGTCCGTGCATGCATGGTGATGGGTATGTCCGTGCATGCATGGTGATGGGTATGTCCGTGCATGCATGGTGATGGGTATGTCCGTGCATGCATGGTGATGGGTATGTCCGTGCATGCATGGTGATGGGTATGTCCGTGCATGCATGGTGATGGGTATGTCCGTGCATGCATGGTGATGGGTATGTCCGTGCATGCATGGTGATGGGTATGTCCGTGCATGCATGGTGATGGGTATGTCCGTGCATGCATGGTGATGGGTATGTCCGTGCATGCATGGTTCCCCCGTGCAGATCCACGAGATCCTGTCATACGGCATAATCAAGAAGCTGCGGGCATTTCAAGCGGATGAGATGGTGAGATGGGGAGATGGGGAGATGGGGAGATGGGGAGATGGGGAGATGGGGAGATGGTGAGATGGGGAGATGATGAGATGGTGAAATGGAGGGTGAACGAGGTGGTAAGTGATTCTAGTGGATGCTAGCAGGTGCTGATGGTGCTCGAGGGTGCTAGAGGGTGCTGGGGGGTGTTTGAGGGTGCTGGGGGGTACGGGGGGCTGCTGGAGGGTGCTGGAGGGTGCTGGAGGGTGCTGGAGGGTGCTGGGGAGTGCTGGAGGGTGCTGGCGGGTGCTGCCGCAGGTGCTCGCGGGTGCTGGCGGGTTCTAGTGGGTGCTGGTGGGTGCTAGAGCATCGGACGATCAGAGTTGCTGTGATTTCCAGCCCCACGGCACATGTGGGGCGTGGGCCCTACCACCGCCCTCCGCCTCTACTCTCCTGGCTACCGCTAATGCAAGTCTTTTCCCTCTCCCCCCTCCACCCATGCCCATACAGGTCCGCACCCTGGCTCTCGTTGGCACCGTGTGGGGTGTGGGCCCTACCGCTGCTCGCCGCTTCTACTCTGCCGGCCGGCCAGCGCTCGCTGCACCAGCTCGCATTCCCACTTCCATCCCAGGCCCTTCCGATGTGACTTTTGAGTCGACTCAGAACCCAACCCAGGCCCTTCTTTCTCTGCCCCCCTCCCCCCCCCCTCCCCCCCCCCCACACAGGTCCGCACCCTGGCTCTCTTCGGCACTGTGTGGGGCGTGGGCCCCACCACGGCCCGCCGCTTCTACTCTGCCGGCCACCGCACCCTTCGCCAGCTGGCGGGCGACCCGAGCCTGACGCCAGCTCAGCAGATCGCGCTCCGGTTCCATGCGGACATCAACACGCGGATCCCGAGGGATGACGTGGCGGTGATGGAGTCGCTGGTGCGGAGGGAAGGAGTGGCCGTCCAAGCAGGGGTGAGGCTTGTGCGCACTGTGTGATGTGCTTGTGCGCACTGTGTGATGTGCTTGTGCGCACTGTGTGATGTGCTTGTGCGCACTGTGTGATGTGCTTGTGCGCACTGTGTGATGTGCTTGTGCGCACTGTGTGATGTGCTTGTGCGCACTGTGTGATGTGCTTGTGCGCACTGTGTGATGTGCTTGTGCGCACTGTGTGATGTGCTTGTGCGCACTGTGTGATGTGCTTGTGCGCACTGTGTGATGTGCTTGTGCGCACTGTGTGATGTGCTTGTGCGCACTGTGTGATGTGCTTGTGCGCACTGTGTGATGTGCTTGTGCGCACTGTGTGATGTGCTTGTGCGCACTGTGTGATGTGCTTGTGCGCACTGTGTGATGTGCTTGTGCGCACTGTGTGATGTGCTTGTGCGCACTGTGTGATGTGCTTGTGCGCACTGTGTGATGTGCTTGTGCGCACTGTGTGATGTGCTTGTGCGCACTGTGTGATGTGCTTGTGCGCACTGTGTGATGTGCTTGTGCGCACTGTGTGATGTGCTTGTGCGCACTGTGTGATGTGCTTGTGCGCACTGTGTGATGTGCTTGTGCGCACTGTGTGATGTGCTTGTGCGCACTGTGTGATGTGCTTGTGCGCACTGTGTGATGTGCTTGTGCGCACTGTGTGATGTGCTTGTGCGCACTGTGTGATGTGCTTGTGCGCACTGTGTGATGTGCTTGTGCGCACTGTGTGATGTGCTTGTGCGCACTGTGTGATGTGGCTTGTGCGCACTGTGTGATGTGCTTGTGCGCACTGTGTGATGTGCTTGTGCGCACTGTGTGATGTGCTTGTGCGCACTGTGTGATGTGCTTGTGCGCACTGTGTGATGTGCTTGTGCGCACTGTGTGATGTGCTTGTGCGCACTGTGTGATGTGCTTGTGCGCACTGTGTGATGTGCTTGTGCGCACTGTGTGATGTGCTTGTGCGCACTGTGTGATGTGCTTGTGTGCACTGTGTGATGTGCTTGTGCGCACTGTGTGATGTGCTTGTGCGCACTGTGTGATGTGCTTGTGCGCACTGTGTGATGTGCTTGTGCGCACTGTGTGATGTGCTTGTGCGCACTGTGTGATGTGCTTGTGCGCACTGTGTGATGTGCTTGTGCGCACTGTGTGATGTGCTTGTGCGCACTGTGTGATGTGCTTGTGCGCACTGTGTGATGTGCTTGTGCGCACTGTGTGATGTGCTTGTGCGCACTGTGTGATGTGCTTGTGCGCACTGTGTGATGTGCTTGGTAGATAGGGAGGTGGGTGGCACTGTGCTGCGGATCCACGTGGGCATTAACACGCGGATACCATCCCAAGGGACGAGGTCGCGGCGAGGGGGCGGCAGGTGGTGAAGCAAGGAATGGCTATCTAACCATCCCCCAGGGGTGGGTTTGTGCAAAAGGCTGGTGTGAAGGCTCCATGCGGACCAACACGCGGATCCCGAGGGGCGAGGTGGCAGCAGTGGAGGAGCTGGTGATGAGGGGCGAGGCGAGGCCGTGTAAACAGAGGCGAGGCTTGCTCGCACTGTGAGGTGGGCGTGGTAGATGGGAGGTGAGTGGTTCTTGAGGCTACTGTGCTGCTGGTTAACATGGGGGCGGGTCAGCGGGCCAGGGGGTCAGGGGGCCAGGGGGTCAGCGGGTCAGCGGGCCAGGGGGTCAGGGGGCCAGGGGGTCAGCGGGTCAGCGGGCCAGGGGGTCAGGGGGTCAGGGGGTCAGCAGGCCAGCGGTTCAGTGGGAGAGCACCTCCCTGCCTCCCCTGGAGCACTCCCTGCCGCCCGGGAGCACTCCCTACCGCCCCGTAAGCACTCCCTGCCGCCCTGGGAGCGCCCCCTGGCGCCCCAGGAGCACTCCCTGCCGACCCGGGAGCACCTCACTCCTGCCCCGGGGGCACTCCCTGCCACCCCCCAGGAGCACTCCTTGCCGACCCGGGAGCACCTCACTGCCGCCCGGGGAGCACTCCCTGCCAACCCGGGAGCACTTTCTGCCGCCCCAGGAGCACTCCTTGCCGATCAAGGGCTGATGCCCACGCCAAACCCAAGGGCCCGATGCAAGCTCCCAATCCCAGGGGCATGCCGCCTGAGGGCAAGCCGCCGGAGGGCATGCTGCCCGAGGGGATGCCGCCCGAAAGGATGCCGCCCGAGGGCATGCGGCACAAGGGCAAGCTGCCCGAGGGCAAGCCGCCCGAGGGGAAGCTGTCCCAGGGCACGTCGCCCGAGGGGAAGCCGCCCTGGGGGATGCCGCCTGAGGGGAAGCAGCCGCCCAAGGGGAAGCCGCCCGAGGGGTAGCTGCCCGAGGGGATGCCGCCCAAGGGGAAGCTGCCCGAGGGCATGCCGCCCAAGGGGATGCTGCCCGAGGGGATGCCGCCCGAGGGCATGCCGTCCGAGGGGATGCTGCCCGAGGGCCGGCATTAATGCCAGGCATGCATGGTTCAAGAGCACACAATGGGACATCGTGACACAAAGTCCAGAAGAGCGTTCACACCGATAATTAGTGATAGTTAACGATTGAAGCCATTGTCTGTGGGAATTAGAGGGGGACACGAGCAGCGGTATGGTGACGGATGATAGCCACATGCCCACATGCCCACATGCCCACCCGACTTTTCAAGTTGCCCACCTGCCTTCAAGTACCCCACCTGCCCCCAAGTTGCTCACCCATGCGCAGATCTCCCATCATCTGTGGTGCCTTGAACCGTCCAGGTGCAGTTCGAGTCGACTCAAAGCACAGATGCCCACCCGCCCACCCACCCACATGCGCAGATCTCCATCATCTGCGGTGGCTCATACCGGCGTGGCAAGGCATCCGCGGGCGACATGGACTTCATTATCACTCACCCCGATGGCGCCAGGTGGGTCGAGGCGTAGACGGTACGTGGGGTGGGTGGGTTGGGGGGTTTGTGGGGTTGCCTCTGGCAGGGCATCAGCGGGCGACATGGATTTTGTCATCACCCCGACTGCGCCAGGTGAGGGGGGCGGATGGGGGCTAGTTGCGCTGCGTTGGGGGGGGGCAGGGGGCTCGTGGCTTCATCATGGCGCCATGAAGTCCTCCTTGCGTTTCCTCCCATGCGCCCTCATTCCAATTCATCACCTGTCTCATTCCTGTGTTTTACCCCCACTCCCCGCTCTCCTGTCTCTTCCCCTCCTCCTCCTTCCCTTCCCCAAATCCCCCCATCTGCCACGCCACTTGTCCAGCCGTATTTTTAGTCGACTCAGAATCCACTTGTCCATCCATCGCGGCTTCCTGGAGAGGCCTATATCGCGTGTGAAGCACGTGGGCTTTGTCACAGAGGACCCTGTCGTCCTCCCCGCTTCCTGCCCCCATCCCCACCACCGCTGCTGCAGCCATCGTGGCTTCCTGGAGAGGCTTGTATCGCGTGTGAAGCACGTGGGCTTTGTTACAGAGGACCTGGTCGTTCTCCCCTCCCCTTCCATCCTCTCCGCCTTTCCCATCTCGCCCTCTTTTCTTCCTGCCCCCATTGCCTCGCTGCTGCGGCCATCGTGGCTTCCTGGAGAGGCTTGTATCGCGTGTGAAGCGCGTGGGCTTTGTTACAGAGGACCTAGTCGTTCTCCTCTCCCGTTCCATCCTCTCCGCCTTTCCCATCTCGCCCTCTTTTCTTCCTGCCCCCATTGCCTCGCTGCTGCAGCCATCGCGGCTTCCTGGAGAGGCTTGTTTCACGTCTGAAGCGCGTGGGCTTTGTCACAGAGGACCTAGTTGTTGGCACACACCACTCCAAGCAGGTGAGCCCACATCAGCCCTAACAGCTGAGCCCAAATCAGGTGTATGTGAGCGAGGGTACTTGAAACACGCATTAGGCTGAAACCTGGAATAGAGCCTGAGGCCTCGCTTTCACCCACTCCCTCCTTCTCCCCCCAGCCGCACAGCAAAGGTAAGGGCAGGAGGACTCATGGGTGGGCGCCTGCTCTCTTGTTTGCGCTCCTGTCCTCACATCTCCTTCCTTGTTCTTCCCCCCCTCCTCTCCTCTCCGTCCTTCCCGCACAGCCGCTAGGTGAGGGCAAGGGCGTGGACACATACTTTGGTCTGTGCAGGGTAGCAGGCAGGGAGCAAGGGAGCAGAGGCATTGCATTGACCAGGTATTGTTTTCCCCCCCTCCCTTTCAACCCCCTCACTCGTATCATATCCCACAGCCGCAAGGGGAGGGCAAGGGCGTGGACACATACTTTGGTCTGTGCAAGCAAGCAGGCAGGGAGCAGCGGCATCGCATCGACTTCAAGGTACTGCTGCTGGTGTGCTGCCTTGAAAGGAACCAGTGCTGGGATTGCTTAAAGCCCCCCTGAGCCTGAGGGAGCAAAGGGGTCGCATCGACTTCAAGGTACTGCCATGCTATCCTATATGCATCGCGTCTGATCTGAACTCAATCCAGTCATTAACCGGCTGTAACGCTAGATGCACGCCCTTCCATTCATCTACAGATGTATATTCACAGTCGTTATTTTGTTACAGTAGTTATGCACTTGTATGTCTTATATCTGCAAATTTTCAAACCAACCCCTATGGTTCGTTCGTGTGTGCAGGTGTATCCGTGGGCGCAGTACCCCTTCGGCCTCATACAGTGGACTGGCAACGACGTGCTCAACCGACGGTGAGGGTGGTAGGGAGAAGGGATCGTGGGGTGGCAAAATTGACAGGCAGGATGGGGGATAGGGTGGGGCATAGGCAGTGAGGATGGCGGCTTGGTAGGTAGTATTGCCAGGCACACACACCAAGCACGGAAAAGCTGCCTTGGATTCGATCAGCGGAGGCGAATAAGTCGAGAAAACGCTCTGGCTTTGACTCATGCCCTTGTCTCTCCTCTCGCTACCTTCCCAGGAACACGGCCTCAATCCCCCCCACGTTCTGCATGCTGTGTGCGCGGTTGTTTGCGGAGGCCAGGGGCTACAGACTGGATAAACCATGGTCTTGTGTCTCCCTGTTATCCTTATCCGCGTGTCCATGCAACAGAATGAGGCTGTTTGCGGAAGCCAAGGGCTATAGGCTGGACGATCATGGTCTCGTGTTGCGAGACGCTGTAAGATGCATGCCTCACATGCAGACGTTCCTCTCATGCCCCACATGCATCACATGCCCACATGCAAACTTGCATCACATGCCTCACATGCATCACATGCCCACATGCAAACTTGCATCACATGCCCCACATGCATCACATGCCCACATGCAAACTTGCATCACATGCCTCACATGCATCACATGCCCACATGCAAACTTGCATCACATGCCCCACATGCATCACATGCCCACATGCAAACTTGCATCACATGCCTCACATGCATCACATGCCCACATGCAAACTTGCATCACATGCCTCACATGCATCACATGCCCACATGCAAACTTGCATCACATGCCTCACATGCATCACATGCCCACATGCAAACTTGCATCACATGCCTCACATGCATCACATGCCCACATGCAAACTTGCATCACATGCCTCACATGCATCACATGCCCACATGCAAACTTGCATCACATGCCTCACATGCATCACATGCCCACATGCAAACTTGCATCACATGCCTCACATGCATCACATGCCCACATGTAAACTTGCATCACATGCCTCACATGCATCACATGCCCACATGCAAACTTGCATCACATGCCTCACATGCATCACATGCCCACATGCAAACTTGCATCACATGCCCCACATGCATCACATGCCCACATGCAAACTTGCATCACATGCCTCACATGCATCACATGCCCACATGCAAACTTGCATCACATGCCTCACATGCATCACATGCCCACATGCAAACTTGCATCACATGCCTCACATGCATCACATGCCCACATGCAAACTTGCATCACATGCCCCACATGCATCACATGCCCACATGCAAACTTGCATCACATGCCTCACATGCATCACATGTATACATGCACACATGCCTCACATGCATCACATGCACCACATGCATCACATTTTACCATGTCCCGAGTTCGCCCCTTCTCTGTGAGATGCCCATGTTGTGCACCCAGCCCTACCATCCACCATTCCTCGTGACTCCCACCCCTACCAGCCACTGAGAGCCGCGCCAGCCACCTGTTGAGTCGACTCAAAAGCGCTACCATCCACCATCCACCATCCACCATCCACCATTGCTCGCTCCCACCCCCACCAGCCACCAGGCACAACAGCAGCCAAGTCAGTTCCGTGCAAGACCGAGAGGGATGTGTTTGACTTCTTGGGCCTGCCGTGGCTGGAGCCCCACGAGCGCAATCTCTGACATCTCTGACAACCCTGTCGGAGCAGAATCTCTGACACCTCTGACAACCCTGTCAGAGCAGAATCTCTGACATCTCTGACAACCCTGTCAGAGCAGAATCTCTGACATCTCTGACGCCGGTAGCAGAATTTGTAAGAGCCGGGCCCCTGAGAGGAATCTATGTTAGGTGTGGCTGATGGCTATAAGCAATCCCATGCAGAGAGTGTTATCTTCCTAATAGAATGTAGCATGGACAGGAGAAGCCATTGTTGCAGTCTGCACCTGTTCTCACCATCACCTTATCCACGAGGCTTGATGCTGTGTGGGTGTGTCCCTCGCTCCGCAAAAAGTGTCAGCCGCTCCGCCAAAAGTGTCCAAAGGTGAATCCAAAATTTGGCTAACATGTCTATTCAAAACAATGTTCCATTCAATCACCTCTGAGGCAGGAACATAAGAAACATTTCCTAATCCTCTAACCTATCATCATTGCATGTAGTTAGGCGGCAACACAGGATGGGAGGGGCTTTTATAGAGTGACGGGTGTACGAAGGGGATGAGCGCCAGGGTGATGGCATGCTCGTAGTACGTCTGACGTGTGATCTCCCCATTGGTCAGGTGCCCCACTGTGCCCCCGCGGGACTTGCTGCCCTGTTGGCTGAACACCTCGTCTGTTGCTGCGCCCAGCTCCATGCCCCCTGGAGGATCACAATAACGGGGATCACAATAACGAGGATAGCAGAGATGAGGATAACAGAGCGGAAATGGACGCTGGCTTGGACGTAGAGTTAAAGGTGTGGTAGAATGAAGCAGATACAGTAGAAGGAATGTAAGGGTGAAGCAGATATGGTAGAGTGAAGCAGGTATGGTAGAGTGAAGCAGGTCTGGTAGAGTGAAGCAGGTATGGTAGGGTGAAGCAGGTATGGCAGGGTGAAGCAGGTATGGTAGGGTGAAGCAGGTATGGTAGAGTGAAGCAGGTATGGTAGGGTGAAGCAGGTATGGTAGAGTGAAGCAGGTATGGTAGGGTGAAGAAGGTATGGTAGGGTGAAGCAGGTATGGTAGGGTGAAGCAGGTATGGTAGGGTGAAGCAGGTATGGTAGGGTGAAGCAGGTATGGTAGGGTGAAGCAGGTATGGTAGAGTGAAGCAGGTATGGTAGGGTGAAGCAGGTATGGTAGAGTGAAGCAGGTATGGTAGGGTGAAGCAGGTATGGTAGGGTGAAGCAGGTATGGTAGAGTGAAGCAGGTATGGTAGAGTGAAGCAGGTATGGTAGGGTGAAGCAGGTATGGTAGATTAAAGCAAGTATGGTAGAGTGAAGCAGGTATGGTAGAGTGATGACTCTGCACCAGTTCTCCCCTTCCCCCCCCTATCACAATTTGCCGCCCCGCCTGCGATCCCCCTGTCTAAACCTTCACCCAACCCTCCAACCATACAAACCTTGCCCTTCCCCCCCCTTTCCTTTTACTCCCCCTTCAACCCCCCCACCCTCCCCCCTCCCCAACCTTCCTCTTCCCCCCACCTCCAACCCACCTTCACCCCACCTCCCCCCACCTCCCCCCCACCGCCCTCCACCCTTCCCCCCACCCTTCTCCCCACCTCTCAGACCCCCCTCCCCCGCCCCCACCTTGCACCAGTTCCGACAAGGGCGGTGGCAGCATGAACGCGGCTGTCCGCGCTCTCGTCTCCCCCGATATCGCGCTCCCCCCGCCTCCCCCTAGGCTTCCCCCGTTCACTCCGCCAACCACGCCTCCTCTCCTCCCCGCTGCCCCTTCCCCTGCCCCTCCCCCTCCCGCGTCCCCCCTCCTCTCCCCTGCTGCTGCCGCGCGTTTGCCGCCCCAGGCGCCGCGCCCCCCCCGCCCTCCCCGCTTCCGCCAACAACCGCGCCGTCCGCCTCCGCCTCGTCCTCCGCGCGCGCGGACGTCGACAGCACGACCGCCCACGCGAAGCACATAAGCTGCGGGGGGTCGGAGAAGCGGCACCACTCCACACCCCCCTCGATCGCCACCACGAAATCCGCGCCTTCCGCCGCGCTGCTGCGCGCCACGTGCATCAGCCGGTTCCGCGCGCCCGCGAGGGTTTCCGCGTCGCCCATCGGCTGATCCGACACGCCGGAATCGGCGGGATAGCCTTCTAACTCGAATGACTCGTGCGGGAATAACCGCCGGAGCGCGTCGCCGGCGGCGTTAATCTTCACTGGGTTCCTCGAAGCCACGACCACGCGACGTTCACGGTGCCGCCGATTGTCGGAACTGGTCTCCCCGCGAGAGGCGATCTCCGTGAGGGTGTCCGCGCGCCCGTCTGTGCGCCCGTCCCCGCGGCATGCTTGCGCCTGCGCGCGGTTCCTTCCGCCCGGGGAGTGGTGCGGCTGCAGCGACACGCGTGCGGAGGACTGGTGATGCGCCGCGACGCGCGACGGGAATATGGCCTCGTAGGTCATACCGGGCGTGCGTGCACGTGCGCGTGCGCGTGCGCGGGGCTAGTATTCGATCAGGATCGCGCCACGGTCGCGCTGGTCGACCAGGGTTGTTTCGTTACAGGCACAGCGACGCAGCCTGATAGTGTCCTCACGATCAGGATTCAACAAAGACACAGCGGTCGGTCAAAAAAAAGGAAGAAAAAACTCCGCCGAATGATCGTGGAGCCCGGAAGTATCCCCGCTATGCGATCATAAGGAGTGGCGTTCGGCAGGCTTACGGGAAAGCCTTAGAGCTTGGCGTGAGCGAACTATGCGAAACTAGTCTACCAAACGACCAGCCCGTGCGACGAAGGGATGGGAAGGCGACAAAAAAGTGTCGCACAATGACGGGCTGGGCGGTTTTGGCGCAAAGGCCGAGCTGAGAGGTGATGCGAGGACGTGAGGGGACTCGATACGCGTTGTGAAAGATCCGCTAAAGTAGACTCGGTCTGTGCGAAGGATCACATAAAACAGTTAATATACTGGTAAGATTGACTGATATGATTTGAAAGAAGGAATGCCAAGCCAACATAAAAGCATAGGAACTTTAGGACCATAGAATTGTTCTGCTGCAATGATCCTCCTTACGAAGCTCTCCGCTGCATAGCCTGCAAGATCTCCTGCAAATCATCATCATCCTCATCATCATCATCCTCATCATCCTCATCATCATCATCCTCCGTCCGTGCAGCATTTTCGTTCCTTCCCCGTCCCAACTTTCCTGCCCCTAAACCTTCAAGCTGATTTCTCCCATCACTCAATGCACCCTTGACATCCTGCGGACTGGTATCTCCAAACAGATCCCCTTCCACCGGTCCAGCCCCATCCCCTACTCCTCCATCCTCCTCATCGTCGTCGTCAGAATCCCCATCTTCCACCACTAGTGCAGTCACTGTTGACACACCTGCTGCTATTGCCACTGGAACTGCAGACGCTGCCAATGGAACAGGCTTCACGCCTGCTGCCGCGGCCTTTGCTACCCCTCCCCGCTGCCCCCCCTCCTTCAAACCGGCTGTGCCCCACACCTCCCCGCCCTGCAGTTCCTCCTCCCGCTTGTCTCCCGTAAGTCTCCACACTTCTGGTTCTCGCCAGCTGCCGCTCCTGCCCTTTGAGATGTGCCACCGCTGCGACTGCCACACCACCAGGAGCACCAGCAGCGCCAGGAGAGCCACCACCAGCAGCAGCAGCACCAGAGGTGCAGCCACTGAACGTTCTTCCCAGGCGGTTGGTGGGTTCGGCCGGAGCACTGGAGGTAGTATCGGCGGGGGCAAATAGGTCCTCGTCCACTGCTGCCCCAGCAGTAGCAGGAGCAGCAGCAGCAACAGCAGCATCATCATCATCGTCATCATCATCCGAGTCATCATTACCTGCCCCAAACAAATCCTCATCAACTGCTGCTCCCTCCCGACCCGTTGGGCCGAACAGATCCGCATCGACCCCCACGCCCTCCCCTCCCCCGCCACACCCCCCTCCTTGCAACTCCCCCCTCTCCTCCCCTCCTCCAAGCCCCGTTTCCCCGCAGCACCAGGCAGAGGCGGACTGCCCCCACCCACGTCCCTGCCCCCTCCCGGAAAATGCATGCCCTTCTCAGAGTGCGACCTCGCAGGCGGTCTAAGGGCGCTGTAAAGCATCTCGGCCTGGCGGCTGGTGAGAGAGTGCGAGCCCACGCCCCCCATACCACCCATGCCACCCATCCCACCCCCTAATCCACCACCCAAGCCACCACCACCCCCCACGCCTCCACCTGCTCCCACTCCTTGACCTAGTCCAGCCTGGGAGCCACCACCGCCAGTGCTGCTGGAATGGAGGGGCGAGAGGGACGACGCACAGGTGTTGGGACCCGAGCCAGGGGGGTGGGCTCGCACCGTGTCCCCTGACCGGCTTCTCAGCAGCGGCGGCTTCGCGGCTTCCTCTATCAGCATCGCTGCTTTCCCCACTGCTGCTGCTGGGCTGCCATGCCCGCTGTGGCTGCTGTGGCCCACAGCCTTGCTTGCTACAGCCGCTACAGCCGCTGCTGCTGCAGCTGCTAACCCTCCCTTCGCCGAGTGCCCCCCTGGCCCCCCTGCGCCCAATGCCGCCCCCCAACGCCCCCAGATTTGCTCCCATGCGCGGAAGGGACAGGCGGGGGGCCGCCCCTGCCCCTCCCCCCTGCGCCCCCTGCTCCAGGCTTCCCTTCCCCCCCGCTTCCGCCCACTCCACTTCCCCCTGCGCCTGTTCCTGCCCCGCCGCTTCCCCCGCTTGCCCCGCTTGCCCCGCTTCCAGTGCCACTACTCCCGCTTCCTCCTACTAGTAACGCCCCCTCGTTCCGTCCCCTAGACTTGGACTTGGTGAGCTGCTTGTACTGCGACAAGAACTCCTCGTCCGAATCACTACTCTCCCCCTCCTCCGCGTCTTTCCCGCCCACGCTGTGCGCTGCCTTCGGCGGGGACCCGCCACTTCCCCCCCCCCCTCCACTACCCGCGGTTTTCCCCAGTGGAGCAGCCAGCGGAGTGGGGAGCCTGGGTCGTGCGGGGGGGGCTCTACTCCACCTGCGCCGCCCGCAAACGGAGAAGCGAGCGGAGTAGGGAGCCCGGGTCATGGGGGCGGCTTCCGCCACTGCAGCTCCGCCCGTTGGCGCGATTTGCAGCGGGCGGACGGAACCAGCGCGGGACGCCAGGGCTCCGCCAGGGCGTCGGAGATCCCAGGTCACGTGGTGGCTTCTCCGCGGAGGAAGGCGCAGCGGAGACTGGCGGAGGGCGGGAGGACGCGCACCCGCGGGAGGCCAGCGGGCGGCGAGGGGAGTAGGCGAGGCGGGGTCATGCGGGGAAGGTTCGGTTACCGCTGCTGTGGAAATGGGAGCGGGACGAGCGGCGGAAGCAGCGGAAGCGACAGCGGGCGTGCGCGCAACAGGCGCAGCAAGCGGAGTCGGGGATCCACGGTCGGCCGCCTGCGCGGAAGCACCTGTGGCGGAACCCGCAAGAGGCGCTGCTAGGGGAGTAGGCGAGCCGGGGTCGTGCGGAGGAACTTCCGCCAATTCCTCCCCCCCATCCAGCGCGGACGCGGTACCCGCGGAAGCCGCGGCACCGAGCGGAGCAGCGAGGGGAGTTGGCGAGGGGAGATCAAACGTCGTGAGCCCTGTCACATCCACAACCCCCGCGCTGGTTCGCACGGTCAGTGGCTTCTTAGGACCCGCCGAGGGCCCCGCCTTCGGCCCTCCGTCCTTAGAATGAGAACCAGTAGTACTATGGGTATTAGGGTGCGCCTTAGAATGCGGCACATGGGTATGCGGCCTGGAGTGACACGCACCAGCACCAGCACCAGCACCACCAGCACCACCAGCATTGGACCCATGGCTGAGACCATGGCTCCCGTCCGTTACGCGTCGATCTGGACCCCCGCTCTCCTCCCCCTTTCCCCGACCCTGCTGCGTAGGTCTGGCACCGTGCCTACCTCCAGGCCCGACAGGACGAGGATCGGCGTGCAAACCTCCACGGCCTCGACCCCTCCCGCGCGCTCCGCCGCAATCCTCGCTGATGACGTGTCCATCGCGCCTCGAGCCGGCGATTTGATCAGCACTTCCCGGGTTGCCGTCTCTGCAGGGAGCCGTTACTCGTTGACGCCGGCCCTGGTTACGGCCTGACGGGGTATCAGGATAAAGCTCTTCTCCCGCCGTTACTGTAGAAAAGCGGTTAATATTATTAGAAGATGAAATTGGCGTCGCGACTGGAGCGTCGTCGTCGAGAAAAGGGTCGTCGGAAGGAGAGAGGGTGTCCGGTTGTCGATACGGGGATGCTGGATTAGCGGCAGACCCGCCAGGCACGAACGCGCCATTGGCGGCGGCTGGCTTCCGACAAGACGGATTGGGGGAACCGTGATGGGTTGCGCGCGCGGGATTCATGGCGACTAATAGTGGCTAACGGCTCCTGATTACATAAATAGTTGGCGGTTTCTGTTCATCGCCATCCGCAACACTCGTTAGCTGAATCATAGTTCAAAAGGCAGAAAAAGGCACAAGGTGAGGACACCCTACAATAGGAATCATGGACAGTAGGGATCATTCCGTGGCTCATGGCATGGGAGGTGAGAAAGCTGACGAGCTGGCGAGGCAACACCCTTGGCCCGTAGATACAGTACCGTACACCCAACAACTTCAAGATAAGGTAGTGAGTGACGGTGACTGGCTGACTAACTGCGGGGCCGACGATTCTCGTCTCATTGCCTGAACCTCGCGCAACACAAGGACGGGCATTTCTGAAATTCTGACGGCAAATTTCGAGGTCTCGGGTTTTTCTGGTGACTGCTTTGGTTGGTGGACATTTACCGTACGAGGTTGTGTGGTTGGAGGTTCGGCAAGTGCGCAGTGACCGAGGTTGAGAAATAAATTCGGCATAAGAGGCTTCGAATGAGTTAGATACAAGAAAAGCATTTCAAATCACTTAAAAGATGACAATTAATCAGATGCCCACAATCACATACAATGCCTCAACTCCTTGGAGAAGCAAAAACTAAGTAGAGGGCTTGATTAAGGGGGCAATCCTCAGATATAAAGTCGATTGTGGAGCTGAAGCTCACTCTCCTCCTGTGTGTCACCTTCTTTTGCCCCGGCGTAGGGCTCTTGGGAACAAAATATTCTGTCATCCCAGGAGGTGAAAGACTCCGAAGACAGAACTCCGTGCCCCAAGAATTGTGAATCTTGGCATACTTTTTAATACCAGCAGTGTCCAAGCTAGTGGTGCGCAACACCCTTGCATCGAAATGTTCCTGTGCGTTAGGAGAGGCAACAATCGCTCGATCACCAGCTTTCTCAACTTGTGAGCGGTGCTGCTGCTGCTGCGTTTTGAAGGAACGGACCTCGTGTCGCCTCTGTAAACTCAGGCAGATAGGACTCTGCGGTGCGCGTCTTGCCATGACCCTCTCCTGATGCTCCTCCTGCCACGCCTCTTCCTGCCTCTGCACCTGCTCCTTCTGCACCATCAGCTCCATTCTCTGCCACTCCTTCTGATGCTGCTGCCGCACCTGCAGTCGCTGCTGCTCACCCTCCTCCATTTCCTCCTCCTCTCCCTCTCCCCCCCCCCCTCCTCCTCTTCCTCCCCCTATGTGTGCATGCACGTGCCATTCTCCTTACCATTCCCACCCCCCTCCTCTTTGTGTTCTGGCTGCCGCTGCTGACTCAGCCTCCTCTGCTGGGCGTCCTGCGGCATCTGCTCCTGCTGCTTCGCCTGCTCCTGCTGCAGAAGGTGCTCCGTTTGAAGCTGCTTCAGCTGCGCCTCTAGCGACTCAACCTGCGCCTGCAGCTCGTCATTCGACATGTTTCGCCGCCGCCTCTGAGTCTGCCCCATGGCCTGCATCCTCTGCTGCTGCTGCACCGACGGCGGCATTGGTGGCGCCTCAGTCATTTTCTTCTCCTGAAGCTGCTGCTGCTGCTGTTGTAGCTGCTGCTCTTGCTGCTGCTGCTGCACCACCACTGGTCGCACATACTCCCCCTGCGCCTGCTCCGGGCTGAGTGCCTCTCCCCCCCTCGCTTACTTCTGCCTCACTCTTCACTCTCCCTGTCGAGCTCCGGTGCACAGCCCCCTCCCCCCTCAACATTGCCTTGCGACTTGGCGACACATGCTGCTGCTGTTTTATCGGCTGATGCGTCTGCTGCTGCTGCGTCTGCTGCTGCTGCGTCTGCTGCGTCTGCGTCTGCTGCTGCTGCTTCTGCTGCAGCTGCAGAGACCCTGGCTCTTGACTTGAGGAGAAGCGATGGGCGCAGTGAAGGGAGAGGATGCGGCGCCATCAGCACGGCTCGCAACTCTCTCAGGCAAGGCTGGACGGCGACCGAGGCATCGGCATCGGCAACGGCAACATGCCCCATGAGGAGCATTCGCCACCTGCAGGCGCGGGGAGTTACCTGCGCCCCCCCCGCCCCCCGCGCCCCCCGCGCCCACGCTGGGCCCGCGCCCTCCCCCGCGCCCTCCAGCTGCAGCTCCGCGGAGCGCGCGCCCTCACGGCGGAGGCCCCCCGCGCGCGTTCCGTCAGCGGCATCCGCGCGCCGTCGTCGCCCGTGACCGCCGCGTGCTCCGGAACGCTGCGGATGGGGAACTCGTCAGAGAATTGCCGCTCGCCCCCCGCGCGCCCGTCCGCGGCTTGCGGCGCTTTCCCCCTGCCGCTGAACGGCCCGGGCCCGCTGCTTGCCAGCAGCGCGCGGCTGCCCCTTCCGCTTATGATGCTGGCGCGCGGACCGAGCGCGCCCGCGGCGGAGGCGACGGCGACGGCGGCGGCGGCGGCTGCGCGCTGCTTGGCGGCGACCCCGTAGAGCTGCACGAACTCGTCGTCGGAATCGACGAGTCGGAAAAAGCCTCCGCCGTGGCGGAACGAGACGCCCCCAAGGAGGCGGAAGCGCAGCTTTCCCGCAACCGACGGCGTTGGCTGGACCAGCCACGTGGCGGAGAGCCGCTCGAGTTCCTCGGCGACAAGACGTGCTCGAGAGCTCGTCGCTGGACGACTGCCGCCGCGCCAACCTGCCCTTCGCCGCCACCGCCGCCGCCGCCGCCGCCGCCGTCGGGCCCGCCGTGTCCGCCGCGGCGGCGTTCGGGGAACGCTTCGAACGCTATTCGAGGAGCGGCTTCTGGGGAACGACGCTGGCTTGCCGCCTTGCCTTGACGACAACGCGGCAGCGGAATGCGCTCGCCTCGGAACGTCTTCACCACCAGCAGCAGCTCCGAGTCTGCCGGCGGCGCAAGGTGATGCTACTGGCGGCCAGCCAGGAAGCGGTTTGAGGCTCCCGCAATCCGTGGCGCCAGCACTAGAAGTACTAGCACAACTACTATTAGCAGCAGCTGTGGTAGCATGATCATTGCAGCTGTGATTATTGCCGTCGCAAGATGCGCTTCTGAAAATGCCCCCCTGCGCCCCTGTTGGGGGCCCGCCAACGGTCCCCCTTGGAGAGGGTGGCGGAGCGGTTCCGTACTTCGGGGAAGCTACTAGCGCCGGAACAGTTCCGTACTCCGCAGCGGCTCGGTTTCGCTCCCCGCGCCGCACGATCACGACCTCCGTCCGCTGCAAAGGCGGCGGCTCCGAGCCGCACGGGAGATTTTTTACACGGCGCGGCTGCCGACCCGAGCTCCCGCCGCGATCCGCCCAAACACTTGCGCCGCCGGCGGCGGCGGCAATAGCGCCTGCTCCGCTGGAGCGGCTCCTGCGGAGCCGCGACCCTCTGCCTCCTCCTGCGCTCCGCTGCGCCACGCGCTGTGGGTCGACGCGGACGGCGCGGAGACGGGGCCGGGGGAGTACATGACCGCGGCAGAGGCGGAGCACGGGGAGGCGGAGAACGGGGAGGCGGAAGAGCCGCAGAAGACGTCGGGGCTGGCGGTTGCGGAGGAAGCGGCGGAAAGGGGCGGCGAGAAGGGGTTGCTGGGGGAAGGGCGGCAACTGGGGGAATCGACTCCGCCATTATTACCGCTACTATGGCAACCGCCAGCGAGATTAACCTTGGTGAAATCCGGTAGCGACGGCGTTCTAAGTGTGATGCTTAACGGGCGCGAAGGGAGGCGCCGGGGAAGATTTGACGAGAAGCCACGTCGGCCCGACGGGGTAGCGCCGCCGCCGCCGAGGGAAGCGGACTCTGGAAACGGGACTCTGGGGATGGCGGCATGCGCAGACGAGGCGTGGGGAAGCGGAATGTCCGCGGCAAGGTCTTCCATGGCGCCTCTGCGGTGTTCCTCCGCCATTGCCGCTGCTCTGGATTCTTCTAATCGCGGTGTATCGGTCGTCGTGATTGTGGTGGTGACCCTCCTATTCGAGTTTCATGTGAGATACTAAAACGTGGAGTTTACTAGGGCGTGGATCGGAAATGGCTGATGGAGTGAGATTCGCTGTGAGGAGAGGTGGTGCCAAGACGCAAAGACTCGAAGGCCACGACTCGAAGGTTCATAATTAAGCGGCTCTTCTCTTCTCTTCTCTCCTCTCCAAACGACGAACCCGCACGCGCGACCTGAGCATCTCATCCCGCGTCGAAATATCCGTTCATGCATCTACAGATGAGCGCTGAGCTGGCACGCACGTGCCGGCGGTGGTTCCACGGTCGAGAGCTTAGCGAGGAGGCGGGTTTTAGGGGCGGGAAATTCTCGCGACGCTGCAGACACCGTGTCATTGCAGCACGTGACGTGCGTGTATCAGTTTTGTGGTCCAAAGGCGACCTGGGCTAAGACGATCATTCCAGAGGATCCAGCGAATCACGCGGCTAGATGTTATCGCGGTAGCGTACGCACTTGCGCTGCTTGGCGGGTGTGGGATATGCACACTGGCAGGCAGAAGGATTAGGTACTGGCTAGTTGTACAACGGCAGAAAATGGTGCTGTAACCAGTTATAAATGAATTGAAGCTGTACGGGGTTGGAGGTGATACAATGGCAGTCAATGGCGTCTGGCGCTAAATTCATAAAAAAAATTCCCATCCCATGCCCTGGCATTCTGAACAAGAAACAACTGGTTGGAGGTGGTGAGCGGGGCCACGTCCTTCGAGGCTAAACACTCGTAATGTTTGTAAATTTCGGGTGGAAAATGTCCAACTCATGGAAAACGTGCTTTCAATCTCGGATAGCCTGGTGACACTATGTTGGTCCTTTGATGGCACCGCGCAAGTGCCGTTGTTTTCGGTTAGTTTGGCCTGGGTCTCATTCCTCATAAAGTATCGACTTCGATTCAAAATTGGCGACTAGGAGAGCGAGGAGGTTAGAAAAATTGAAGGGTTTGCAGTACCAGGTGGAATACAATGAATAACCGACGACTGGACTGGATCCCTACCCTGGGCAGCCAGGGGTCAATGCGGTGATTGTCAGCGGTTCACACTTGTGAAGCGCACTGCAGTCGAGGAAACGACGAGCCTCTCGACCTGCGATGCGAACCTGCAGAAGCCATGATTGACGGAGCGAATCGCATTGTAAGGCTGATTCCAGACATGAGGCGACAGCACGAATCACGCTGCCAGGGTGGTCTCCTGGATGGCACCGTGGCCCGAGTGAGATGAGAAACCCACCATGTTGAAGGGTGGAGGACACAAAGAGCAAAGTGGGGTGGTCTGTGGTGGGGTGCGGCTGGCTGGCCAACTGTATCCCGAGTCGCGACTTGGCAACTGGGGGCTATGCCGTGTCCTCGGTAATGAGAATGACCTTACACACCCTGCTGCCCACCAACAAGCAGCGTCATGCCCATCTTGATATATATTTGAACCTACGATGTATGGGAAGCCAAACCAGTACTACTAACACTACACACTAGGTGCCTTAAAAAAGCATATATGCTACTACCGTTACATCTGGGTTGGGTGGCTGTGGTGCGAAATGGAGCTGTCAAAGGATGTAAATCGAAGTTATAATATTCCTAAGAACATTAACTATAGGTAAAAGAGTATGCATACATGTGTGAAGTTTTTATGATGCCACAACTCATAATTAGAGTGATATTTATGCCTTCGTAGCTACGGTTTTCATATGTGCGTTGTGATTTAGATGGTGTTACACGTTCCATTTTCATACTTAACGGGGAACAGTTTTCGCACGGTTTCTGATCCGATGCGATATTATTTATCAGAAAGTGTTGTCCAGCTCAAGAAAGGACATCTCCACATCAGCTCTCGTAAGGTGAGTGATCTTCAAATCCGATCAGCTATAACGTTGCAATCATCGCCCAACTTACCACGTCACGACACGGTCACAGCAGGATTTTCAAAGCTGCTGCCGACGCCACGTTGGCCTGCTCTGTTCTGCGAGCGCAGAAAAACGAATTTTCTGCACCCTGGTTCGAGGGAGACCCCCTTGGATTGGATGTGGAGATTGCCACAATCATGAATGTTTCACTCAGCTGTACTGTACAGCAATCTGCCCATGGGCAGCATGAACAGCATAAGGCGAACGATTCACGGCGTGTTGACAGCTTGCACAATTCGATAGTCTGAATTGTCCTTCGGCGGATTGGAAACAGCCTGGCGCGACTGTGAGCGAGGTACAGTAGAGCTCCACCTTTTCCCCCTACAAAGGGTACGCTCTATGCTCCAAATCCGCGACTCGCAAATATGGACTACGACGAATAAGAGCGGTTCACTACGGGCAAAATGGATTATCAAGTAGCACGTACGGTTTTAGGTGGGGTGGCGTAGGTCGTTTTACTCTTTTTGTTCACGATGGGTGCCTTGGCGTATTGGTCCTAGGGCCAGGTTACCAGCGACTTCGCCGCGTGTCATGTGAGGGCTCA